ATATGATATCACTTCAGATGATTGTTTCAAGATCTGAGTTCAAATGGAAATAAAAGCAAGATCAAGATGAAACAGGGATTATTGCTGTTAAAGTAGTTTGGCCATGATACAACAAGCACATAAATCATTAGCCAAATCAAATACTGGTTGGTTTGTCAAGATGTTTGTTGTCTGTCGTCTGTCGAGCTGCTATGAACACTGAACGCTCTCACTCTTACATTAAAGATAGTAGTTTAAGTTGAATGGTAGTGAGCTGTAATTAGACAAAGCAGCTATTCAGTGCTCACATCAAGCCAGGCTAGGAAATGGCATCAACTGTGGTGGGAGGAAGCAGGTTCGGCAGCCCTATGTTGTAAACTTCTGTTGTGTCTTGTGTTTGATCAACTGATGTTTTCTGCTCTGTTTTGTGCAGTGATAGTAGCAGGTAACTGCATGCTTGTCAAATTATGTGAATAAACGAATTCATAACATTGCATTTTTCTCTCCATGCAAGGAACAAGTAAGATGTTGTAGAAAATGTAATAGAGGGCTGCATTGCTGATTTTGCACTTTATCAGAGCTTTATTAAGAATTGCTTTCCTGAAAGCTACACACAGGCCACAGCACTGAAATTCACAATGTCATAGCTTTTGGCAGAAAAAAAGAAAAGACTTACCTAGGTAAAATTGGCTGAAAGTATGGCAGAGCAGGTCTTGATGCGTATGCCCATCCATGTGCTTGCCGAAGCCGAACTGACTGCAACACATTAACTCTGACCCACCATGGTGGCTGGCATATCCTGAACTTTCACCACTCTAAACAAGACAACTTTCAGCCCTCAGCATTGTATTAAAACACTGTACATGACACTCAAAATTTGTTTCAGTGCCATCCACGAACATCAGTCGCCATTCACCACGCCAGTAAAAACAGAATAGATAATAGTTTCAAACCCATGTAGTCAGAGTTACAAGGTCTGCACCTCGAAACAAAATCCAGGTGACATTCACCATGCCAGTAAAAAACAGGTACTTAGGTAACGTAACAGCTTCAAATCTGGTAACATGTTGGTCGGACTTTACACTACCATATTTACATAGAATAATATGATACCAAACAATAGTGCAACCATTCTGGACAACAAAAGTGTATGATAAAATTAATTTAGAATACTTTGGCAGCATGATTTACGAGCACAGGCAGGTGTTACCTACCAGCCTTCTCAATGCTCGTAAAACCAACATTGTAGTTTTGATTTTACCTTACATGATAACCCACTTGGCTGCAATGGCACATTTAATTTAATACTGTGAAAAGACCAGTTATAACCACTTCACAAGCACAATTGCACCTCATGCCGACATCCTTTTCCAGACAGTCAGCAGCGTCTTTCGTCAAAACTGGAAGATCAATCCCCTTTCAGTTTCAACTGTTAACATCAAAAATATTTCTTCATGGTGTGATCTCCATATGGAAACCTTGCAGGAAAAGAATTAATGTCAATTGTCAGCTCTTCAAATTTCTTTGGACTTTAACTTGCAGTAGGTACCATATCCAGTTTGCTTTGATATTTTGTTTTTTATTCCATGTTGAAGTTGAACACCAAGCTCCAGATATAGCAGGCAGCTTGATCATCTTCGGCCTTGGTATAATATCAGTCCAAGTTCCAGTGGTGGGTATCTTCTAATATTCAAATTAAAATGAAACGCAATGGGCTTTCTCAGCGCCGACGACGGATTTCACGTTGATAAAAAAGGGAGCTCAAGGTCAGCAAAACTCGGGTTCAAGGAATGGCGGGCGTTGAAATGACTGCTGACGTCATCAAAAAACCGCTAATGGTTAAGAGATAGGGACTAAGCTGGTCCCACCCTGCAAGTAAAGGGAAGAAATTTCTTGAACACCATAAACCTGCGGGGGTTGCGACCAGGATAAATGGTGGTTTCTGAGCCTGGCCGCAAACTTGGCTATCTCAACTCAAAACTAATGTTAAGGTGGGATGGTCCCTTTAAATTCGCGCCTTGGCTCTCAAATGTATTAGTCTGTTCGTTTGGTATGTAAACTACATATAACATAGTAGTAGCATTGTGTTTTCATTTGGCGACATTCAAGTCATTTGCGCATTATCTTACGGTAATTGAAAATGGAAAATGATTGAGATCAGGACAACACGGACATGGTTTGCCTACAGCCTTCTGGTGCAATCAGCAGAGTTGTGCGCCGAGTCACTCGCGACACTCCACTGTAACAAGCAATAAACAGCTCAACCGATGAATTCTTCGGTCGTCCTTGCCAATGCCCGCTGACGTTATGAAGCTGTTGGATTGACGTGTCCCCTCTCAATGAAGCAACAGGGGACCCATTGGTGAGCAGCTTTCTCTACTGCACCCACTAGCGGCAGCTTACTTTGCTGGCATCTGCTTCTCTCAGCCTATGCTTGGGCTATTGGACGGCCGCGTCGGCTTTCAATGGTCCGTCTAAATTAACGCTGTCGCCAGTCCAAAATTAATCTCACAGCGGCCACCTCCCACACCCTGGAGTGAATGTTGAAATAGACATTGCAACAGGGATCTAAGTTTGTTTGGAAGAAGGACAGTGACTGGGTGCTATATAGGTCTGTGGAAAATTTTGCCGAGTTCGCAGAGAGCAGGGCGGAGCAGGCCGAATTGGAACGGATCGCTCAGCGATACATGTGTATAGGTTTCTGTTGTGATATGGGAAGTCGAGATCAAACATACCTAATGATATAATTGTTGGGAACAGTGTAAATCATTTTCAAAGTCGAAATTTGGTGCCGCGCTAAAGCGCTTGAAATGTGATCGTGTCAAAATGTGTTACGTCCGCCTGCGAGTCTTAGCACAACTTCACAAAAACGGGATTGCCTAATACCGTTATGTCCTTGGCAAGTTGCCCAGCCCATAGCCGAGTAAGAAATTGCTGTCGGTTTCAAGATTAGATTTTCTCCGACCAGCAAGCAATGCGATACAGTGCCTGACTTCTACCGGCCTCTATCCTTGCATTGGTTCAACTGCTAACACCGTATGCTTAGCCTGCTAACAGCTTATCCGTTGCCAGGAAAGAAGTTCGTGTAGCCGTGCCAATGAACTGCATCGTGTGCAGTGAACGCTTATATAAAATGTTGTTTTAAGCTTTGTGACGCCGGCTGCTTGGTCTTAAGTCGCAATAACAACGTACATTCCTAATTAAAGTCGTACGGAAGTTTACAACGCCTTGGAAGTTAAACTGGAGTCGCTGTCGGCTTACAGTTCAAATGTCGTGCTAGACGGGCAGCGTTATCCAGTATCTACCTGGCAACTGGCAGCTCGGCAGCATTTTGCCTGTTGCCAGGTGACGCCGGTCCAGAGCTGCCAAATGCTGCCAGATCCTGTGAGTCGCTGCCGGTCGTTGTCTTGCGAGCAGGAAATGCGACGAATATCGCCAGCAAGTTTGAGGATAATGGCTTGAGGATAATAGGCATGGCGTGTTGCTGTACGTTGCCTTTTTTCCCGACGCATTAAGAATTGTATTACCTCAGAACTTATGATGGGTTGACAAACTGAATAGCAGTACCTAACGCATTTTCTTTTTGTTACGATTGAAATCCGTCGATAGTTTTTTCAGCTTTTTCCAAAGAGATCATACGAGTATATTTGAGAAAATTGCTAGAGGTCTACCCTGGATCAGAAACGCTAGATCCCGGATCCCGCAGAATTTCAGAAGATATTCAGGGCGCTGCATTGTTGGGCGAACAATATAATACATGTAAGTGTGCGTGTGTGGGTTTGGTGAATCACCCGTCATCGTTGGAAAAAGGCACCAACGATGATAATCGCATTCAAAACAAAAATATTTAGCCATAGGCGAGGTCCAATATCTACTAATATCTACTTATATACGTCAACGTGAGGGGTACCAGATTTCCAGGATGATACCAGTTATGTGAGACAGAATGGAAAGCAATAAGTGTATTGCCCAATAAGCAGAGGGCAGGCTCATCTCCTACCTCGTAAGCTACGAAGCCGGGCACCGGTCGGAATGTGTTATCTTTTTGGGATTTTTGGCTTCCGTCTTCACCACTGCCACTGCTGCCGTGTTTGTGATGACGGAAAGATTAAGTGACATCAAACATTTACTCTGTTTTGGAGCGTGCTTTATGAACAGGATTTACATAATTTCATGTGTTATATCTGGTATGAATTTCAGGAAGTGCGCTCCCGAACTCGTGTGACTGAGCCTTACCTGCCCCCCCCCCCCCGAGAAAAAATTACATGCCATTCACGGTTCAAAACTATAGCGAGACTACATTATATAGTGTATACTGTATACTATGTACATACATTGTATTTTAAGGATAGTGGTTATCTGAAATTTTTGTTAATAGATTGTAAAATAAGTTGAGTCCATTTTAGCGCTATTGAGCCATCTGACAAGCGCTGCATCACACTGCCACCTTACCTGCCAAATTTAAGGCTGCACGGACTTTCGAAATTGAAGACAAATACTACGCAGTATTTGGTCCATTTCCTCTACCATCCTCTGAAGACCAGCGTAGGTTTTACCCTACGCCATTATTTAAAGCTTATTACAAGCGCTTTGACGCATTGGAGCGATAGTTTTGTGATGCCTCTGTTACCATCAACGCCTTTATTCGGCCTTTTATTTCTCTGTCGAAACTTCATTGTATTATGTGCAACATAATATATCACCTATTATCGTCAAGTTACAGCATAATTTGGAAACATAATAGGCCATTTTCCATCTAATTTCTTCCAGAAAATGACATTCACACTGACGTTTTTACTCAAACGGTGTCCCTGTCGCGAGAATTGTTTAATTATTTGACACCATTATTACATTTAATGCGGCGATTAACTGCATTCAGGAAATTATTGACATTCGGTATGGCAATATGATCTTCCATTTGGTGTTTGGTCTTCCTCTTCCGCTCTCGTTCCCCGTTTCTTAATCCTGGTCTGTAGCTGTGTGCGAGTCTATGTCCATGACGTCACCCTCCTCGTCCGCAGGTGCGTATGACGTCACTGAGCAACATGCTGTCCACCAATGCCTACGTGCTGATGTACGAGATGACGGGATCCACGCGACAGCTGCTGCTCGGTCACTCGCCAGGTGAGGCATGTCAGGGGGTGAAACTCATTGTATAGCACACGCCAGGTGAGCTAAAGGAACAGGTAGTGAGGCTTATTTTATAGCACACGCCAGGTGAGCTAAAAAAATAGGTAGGTGAGGCTCATTGTATAATGTATAGCACACGCCAGGTGAGTTATAGGAGTAGGTAGGTGAGGCTCATTGTATAGCATACGCCATGGGTGAGTTATAGGAGTAGGTAGGCGAGGCTCATTGTATAGCACACGCCAGGTGAGTTTTTTTTTTCTGTAGCTCTTAAAGACTCGCCCAACGCTACTCGTTCTATATCGGTAACCATAGACATCTCAATGATCTGCTTAACTTGCCGACCAAGTTAGTCTGTAATGCTATTCGCCTGTCAATGAAGGTATAACTGTTTGACATGCTGTATCCAACGGAGCCCGATCGTCTCTCGGTATCAGATCCAACACGGATGCGCCGTTCTCGGTTTGGCTGATAGGATTAGTGTTTTCGTCACCGGGCGCCTCTGCGTCGCTGGTTCCGGCTCTGTTGCTAACTCTGGTCTGTAAGTACCTATCACCCGCGGCGCCCGGCAGCGGTGCACTGCCTCTGTGTCCTGGCCTAGGTAACTCAGGGCGGACATTGCCGCTCGTACAAAGTTGACCAGAGCTCACGTTCTTTGCTGCCGCTAAGGACCTAGGTACCATTGCTTCACGGCCCAACGACGGTGTCGCCTGGGTGGTGTTTTCGTTGTGTATTTTTGTCGCAAAGTTAGGTTCAAGCTCACATTCGTTTATAGTTATGTTTGCCTTCTAAAGTGTTTAACGTGTTGGAAAAGTTCGACGGAAGTTTCTCAGCAAGGTAATGCAGAAGTATTTCTGGTTGTAAAAATATTAAATATTAAATTTGGGTTAGGCCCTTTCGGTCGACAAGACCATTGCAGAGCCGGAAGGATGATAGGAATTAGGGGGAGACATTGGTCTGGGCAGGCACCCTAGTGAGTCGCCGGGGCTGAGCCCGTCCAGAGGACAGGCCACCCGGCCCCAAAGCTCTCACTGCACCCGGCTACGGGGTGCGCTCCCTCAGGAGCAGCGGTGCCGCTCCAAGGGAGCAGCCCGCATGAGATAAAGTTGCCTGTCCAGCCCGGAGGGAGGTTGCGGCTTGGAGGAGAAGGATTTTAGTATCCTGAGGATAGAAGCACGGATAGGTGGTTGTAAAAAGAATCGTCTCGGATAATGTTTCCGGCGATACACGACTTTCAGTCGCGCTTTCCGGACTCCCATTTACCCAAATCCAGGTTTTATCAGCTTACTTCCGGCATCGCAGCTAGCGGCGAATGATGTCAGTCCTATAGAGTTTACATGCGTGACATTACACCAAAATCTCGCCTGACGCTGTCTTCCTCCTTTCACAGGAGCGCCGGCCACAGAGACGAACCGCGCGGCCTCCCCGCCCCCTCCTCCTCCGCCTCCTCCCCCGCCGCCGGTTCGGGCCCCGTCAGCCCCAGCCGCGACCACCCCGCTACAGCCGAACGCCGCGCTGACCAACGCCGCCAACAGGTGGGAACTGGCTCCTCACACGTGGTACGGGGACCCGCAGTTGCTACTGTACAGCGACCCTGAGCAAATTGTCCCAGCACCCTCACAGGGAACAACGATAAGCTGCCAGAGGGCACGCACAGAAAACCTCAGCTGCTCTTGTACAGGGACCGGCAGTCGATATCAATGTTATCGGTTGTTACTGGACAGGACAGACGGCTATAGTTGGGGTTCGTGTACACTGTACAGTAGCAACTGCGGGTCCCCGTACGCGCGGCGGCTGGGAGCCAGGGGAACTAGGCAGTAGGGTGTTCCATATTACTATGGAAAAATTCGAAATCAAAACACATCGTCATTTCGATTTTGCCCTGTATTCTTACTTCAAATGAAAGCGATTGACACCTCGTTGAACAAAATCGGACGATATTTAGATGTCGCGCTCATGACCGCCATAGCACTCTAGAGTGAGAAGGCCGAGCAGGCGGCCTTGGTCCGCTTGGGAACCTGGCTGCGGTGAAGCTGGACGACGCGAAGGAGGTACTGGCGCTGTTCCTCATCCTTAACAGCGCCAGCGAACTGCTTGATGAGGGCGATCCCTCGCTCGGCGCTGTCATTCACCACCTTCAGGGCCCTGATGCGGTTCTTCAGTGCCTCGTCCTTGATCAGGTTCTGGGGATGATCTTCCCGATCCGCCAGCAGCTCGAACAACCGTTTGCTGCGACTGGTGACGAAGTTGCTCAGGGTAGTGGTGTTATCCACACGCAATCCTTTCCCATCGAGCCGCTTCAGTGCCTTCTTGGACGCAGGATTCACCAGGTTCTCCAGCATCCGCTTCTTCTCCTCATCCTCGACTCTGTCGTCGGAGAAAGCCAACGCGATGAGGTCTTCTGAAAGGTACCAGAGATGGCGGGTTAGGGCCTTGGTAGCCTGTGCGCTGACTTCCTCGTCGGGATAATCGTTGAGGGCCTGCAGGAGCTTCAGATCGTTCTTCGGGGCTTACGAGTACTCCGGAATCAGCGCCTCGTGCCAGTGCTTCAAGAGGCTCACGAACAGTGCCACTTGACGGAGGCCTTGTTGAACGCGAGCTGGCAGCTCAAGTTGGTCGATGAAGAGCGTCATCTTGACGGCTTTGGCCATCCGTCTAGCTTGATGATAGGCACCAGGAGCTCGAAACCGGACCTGTCCCTCACTTCCTCCGAGGAACACGAGGCACAGACGGAGAAGCTCCTCGTAGTCCTCGCGTGGGTTGCTTCCGTCATGGAGAACCTTTCGCAGGAACGCAATCATCTGCACGCGGAGCAGCTCAAGCCAATACTTTGAGATACTACGAGTGTTAGCTTCATTCTTCATGAAACTAGCATACAGAAAAGCTTCAAAAGAGCGCGACATCTAAATATTGTTCAATCGAGCTGGGTTTTTGCACACATCATGGATATATGGCAAGGTTATGGGGCGACATCGAAATGTCGGCCAATGCTGAAGTTGGGGAAAATGGAACACCCTACTAGGCAGGTCGCAGGGCGGACGGGCTGTTCCGCTCCACAGGGGTAGTCGGGAAAGTTTTCTTCCTCGTGTTTTAGTTATTATGTGACCTCATCAGCAATTGGGTGCCACCCCTATGATGATGTGTTGATGAACTAAACTAAACCAAACTGAAGAAACTTCTTCCGAGGAGTATCGTATGCGTAGGATTAGATCTTTGAATGTCCCGTTTGCAACTATTTTATTTATTGTTGCTGATATCTAGCAGAAAGCAAAACCAATGCTGCTAGATGGACATTGCGTCAGATTTGCCGTTTGCTTTTCCTACCGTTGGCTGTAGGTATCCAGACGAGTGGCCAGATACTTGACTAATGTTGCTGCCTATGATGCCGCTTTCCGTTGCCACGCTGTATTAATGAAGCACTTACAGGAAGGGAAGTACGCATACGGTGACTGTGCAGCACTAGAAAGGGGCAACTGAACCCGACTTGGACAGGCTCTGTTTCCTATTTGCATCATTTGCTTATACATGCATTCCTAGAGACCCAGAAGCAATGAAAATGCAACGTTGATGATGAAACGTAGGAATTGCAGAAGTGCTTGTAAAAGAAGATTTCCTGCCAGATGAATGAAGTTAATTTTGCGTCTTCAATGCTTTTTTGAACTAGATGGATATCATTTTCTTTAACGAATCTCATGTAGTTGGGTATATGCTCTCTGGAAGAAGCATGCATTGAAGCATTGCACATTTAACTATTTTTGCTGGCTCATTCCGATGTGATCCGATGTGATTGGTTTCATTAACAGCTCTTGCTGGTTTCGTTTTACCCCCATAATCATTATCTAGGGACGGTAAGGATAGAATCATTTCCTGATTGGATGCCTGATACGCCTCTTAGGTTTTGATATGTTGTATTTGGAGAAAAAGAAAGCGGTAATTAGGATACATGAGACCTTGAAGTGGATGCAGGAGTTCTTACGTAAAGAGCGTCAGAGGCGTGTTTCCGTTACGCGCCCACGACGTCCACCGCTTTATGGTAGTTCAGTTTACTAAAAGCAGTTATGTAAGAGATAAATCGCCGGCTCCTTTTTTTTCGTAATGTCGCCCCTGAATTTTGTCATCCACTAAAAAAAAAAACTTGATGTGAAAGATACTACCTATACCAGCGTAACTGATATGTTTTCAAATCGGCTCTCATTTTTTTTCTCGTGGCTAGCTAGCTCGTGGCATGGCTAACTTTTAGAAGACTTGTGGATATAAGATTATTGGCGGTCGGCGATTTTTCCAGCTGCTAAACTCGGCCTCTAATCCTTCATCTGATGGACTAAAATGCGTAAAAACCATTTTGCACTTGATAGCCGTTTCGTGTAGCTGAATTATGTGCTGCTAAATCCTATTTACACCATTAGGCATATGATTGGGCTGAATTTCACGGCGCTCAGTCGGCGGGCCAGGGCCGCCCGAAACGGGCACCGTCTGATATATGTGCTGTCATTTCCTTCGAGCAATTATAACGCGTGCACCTTCAACGTGCACCATAAAGAAATTGAACAGCTTTCGTGCCTGCTACAACTCCATATCACAATGCACTTCATTTTATTTTTTTTTAACATCCACACCTATTCATACGTATTTTCCGTTTTTTATCTTAGCATGTATTTGAATATCGCACCCAACTGCCATCCGTGATCCACCCGTACCCTCTCAGTAATTCTCCTGCCTTCCCTCCCCACCGCCCACCACCCTCCCTAGAGACCTGCCATTAGCTACCCTGGGACGTGACGCGGCCGACCCCGATCGGCTGATTATAGCCACGTTACGCAGACCTGCCCCGACCAGGTGGGCTAACCGAAATGGATGGGCACGCAAATAGGACCTCCATCCCACGGAGAGACGACCGCCGCGCGCTGGCCGGGGGCTGCACTGTAGGCCGGTAGCCCGAAAAAGCGCTAGAAATTCCCCCAAACTGACTCTCCGCAATATGAACAAAATAGGTATCGTTTAATCCCAAACTGATCGAAGAATACGATTCCGATGCCAGTTTTTCCCTAAGGTCAAAATTGAGGTCGTCAGTTGTCACCAAACACAAGACAATTTAGACTCTCTAGTGGCCACCACATTTACCGATTTTCATGATGATCTTCAGTGGTAATTTATTAGCTGACCAATCGTCGTTTTGAACGAAATTTCCTCACAGACTAGTTTAGGGCACTGTTGTTCACTGTGCCAACATCATTCTTACATATTGCATCGTTTTTCTGCAAGATAAGCTAGCTTTTTGCAAGCAGCTGCAAGACGTAATTAAAAATCATATCTAATTTTTCAATTAGACTTTTATAAAAATGTGATTTCGAGCAGCTAAAAATGAACATTTTATACTAACCTCTGATTACTCATCTTTCGTTCCATATAGGTGCTTTGCTGCTTTTCCCTGCTACTTTTCGAGATATGCGCAAGTAAACCACATGATGTAGGGGCAATTGTCACCTCGCCGCTCTACTGAAGGCCCGGCGCTCTTTAAAGCGCTGGAAGTTTTGAAAAACAAACGCGTATAATCAGAATAGAATATATGTCCCTGAGCTCAGAATTGATCAACGCACACAATGCTGTTAAAAATTTTGGCCCAAACTAAAAAATTCAGTCGTTATTAACCCCCAAACACAAGTCAGTGATAATCAACAACAACTTGCTCTTTAGTCAGATTTTTTGAGAAATGTTATTTCGAGCCGCTAAAAATGACCATGCCATACAAACCACTAATCATCTTTCTGTCATGCCCTACTCGCAATTTTTGCTAATGCCTGCTACTCTTCGAGGTCACGTGACCTCACCAATAATAGTCAATGGGGAAATAAGGAAACTGTTGTTTTTGCGCATGAAATGATCTCAAACTATCTCAAGCACTCGGAATCGTGATTTCATGCACTCCTTGCAAGATCCGATGCTTTACTTTTGCATTTTTGACCTTCCGTGACGTCATTTATGACGTCACTACGGTCATAGGAGTTTCTCGTCAATAACTCATGATCAAATTGAGCCAGCGACTCGGGAAAGCCACCAATGGACTCGGGAAGACCTCCTGAATCGAATGATATGCAATACGACTTCCTTCGATTAAGTTCGTGGCCTGATGGGCTCTGAACTGACCTTGACTCGAGGTCAACACCTTAAGTTGACCTCACCCGGACAAAAAGTATACCATTCGACGCGCCTGAGCCAGGCGAACACGATGGTGCCAAAATCGCTGCTCTGCGGCCATTTTTTGCGAAATTATTTACCAAAAACTAAACTCTACCTTGGGCTTTTTGACTTCACCTCAGAGGTTACCGGTTGACCTGGTACCTTAAAATCGGGTATCAATCGTTTCGTCTTGAAACGGCGCACACGCTTGTTTTTTCCGCGAGGCTCTAGCTCCATTAGGGGCGAAACGGCGAAAAGGGGTCGTACCAACCCTCCCCCTCGGCTGGCCGAGGGGGGGGGGGTCCGACAATAGGTCCGGTGAGGGTTAAGCAGCCCCATGTCGTTTTTAGCATGTTTGCTTGTCACTGAGATCAACAACTCAATCACAGATAATTTCTAGCACTTTTCCGGGCCCCCGGCCCAGTGTGGGCTGGGTCTGATCGTGACCTGTGGCTGCTCTGATTTCGTGGCATGTTTTCAGCAGTTTGTTATTTGTATGCTTTCTAGTCAGGTGTGTGTTTTTCTTATTTAAACGTTAAAACTTGACACAAGTTGAATGCAGTTATTTTTGTTTAAAAGCGAGAACATGACCTTTGTTAGTTCCTAAGAAAAACTTATTTAACCTTTTTTGTATAATCTTTGAAAAACAATCGGGAAATGGGGCATTGATAAAATATTTTCGTGTGTACAAATCATCAATGACTTACATCACCATACAAGCCCATGATGAACTTTCCTTCACATATACTTACTGAAGCTACCGAAGATGGCGCTGTTAATATAAAATAAAAGCGTCTTGTTACTTTAGTACTAGGTACGCCTTTTTTGCTTTTGTTTTGTAGAAATAGGGCTGTTATATAAAGCATTGCTCCATTTGCTTATTTCCATGTAGCCACACATGTTTTAGTGAACAAAGACAACCGTGAATAGCACTGTGAACTCAAATCGCGGCTGTTCAACTTAAGAGGTGTGGAACGCAGGGTTGAAGCATGTTTATTATTTGGAGGGATTGAGAAGGAGACAATTCATGGTAAAGAGCTTCCCTTGTCCCATCCCGGTCCTGCCCAAGGCGTCCTGCCGCGCCATGTAATGTGAGCATAAGGTCAATACTGCCAATAGTTAGTTTCAATCAATAGCTGAGAAACTGCTGAAGACCTTATCTAAGTGCTGGTATAACGACTGTTTTAGGCAAAATTCCGGAGGAAGATATCAGCGGCTAGGTATTAACTTGTGCGAAATATTACAGTTTACATCGTAATTTGTTATGTTCTTTCAGATAACGGCTTGATCTCAGATATGTGGTAAAATTCATATTTTATCCTTCTTTTTCTAGTGAGATATCTACGAAGAAAACATATTGCGAACTTGAAGACAATGCATTTATATTCCGCGTATTTTCGGCTCGGAAAGCAGCTGCCGAGTTTAAAAAAGTGTTACCATGTTAATGCCATTATTGTGATTTTGTCCGAACTCATTCGGTTCCATTCGCACTGATGTTTATGGTGATACCGTAATCGAATATCGACCGGTGTGTAGAAATGTGTAGTGGAGAGCTGCGTAGTGCCACCTGCTGAAGGCTCACAAAGGAAATAGGAGGCGGATGTTTTCCTCTGCTCCTCTGCGCCTCGCCCGTTCTGTTGACATCTCTTCAGTTCGGTTCGATCGGCTGAAAACGCGTCCTGCACTGTCAGAACTGTCAAGCAGTCTCATTAAAGCGTGATCTTTGAGTTGAAGCACTCCAGCGCTGGTGCGTCGAACGCGCAACTAACATTCACAGTTTCAGAGACCGATGGGATTTACATTACTGGGAACTGGCTCTGAGCAATTACGCTGCATTGCAATTTTTCAGCGGAAGTCTGTCCCGCGCGAGTGATTGCATTTCTCCGGCTCGTGGCGCATCTGGGATAGATCTTTGCTGAGCTCTGGCTGTGTACTGTGTAGGCAGATGGCTTCGCTGTATGAAGCGCGACTGAAGGTAATGAGTTGTCGCTTTGAATATGGATCTATTGTTTAGTTATTTTGTTATTAAATGTCGGAAAACAGATTCGCTGCACTCAGCGGTTATGACATGCGTTGAACCAAGCGCCTTGAATAAATAAAGAGGTGTGTAACTAATTTCCACATTCACATCATATTTTATCGCATTACAGACAGACAATTTAGTCGGATTCCTCCTGTTGACGCAGGTAATCTCTCAGTTCGCATTTGAATGCTGGATTGAGTTTGATTTTGCTAGTCAACCAACAGTCCGTTTAACTAGGACAAAGCGATACGCATAATTCCACCTTGCTGGCGCCATTGACGTTTCCAATGTCGAAACTGATTATCCAATATCACTTTATTAGAACAATATTCCAGCGCGCTTTGCTAGTTATATTAGCTTTTGTCCAACGTTTTTTTTTTTTTTGCCACAACACCACATTTTTTTTAATCAAGTATGTATTTGCTTGATGCATTTTCTGTTGTCTCAACAGCACCGTTTCCGGTTTTCTAAACACTTGCCAGCCCCTAGGGGTTGGAGTTGCTCTCGGTTTGGCGTATCTAGCCCGAAATAGAACATTTGTTGGTTGTATCAGCCACTGCTTTCAGCTTTAGCCGGAGGCGGCAGCCGTTTTTCGCTAAGTACATGCTACTAAGTACATACCGTGCCGGAATCAGCGACCTCCCAGCCCCGCTTCAGCCTGCCTGCGGACATTCAACATTGATCCTCGCAACAGCAACGGGTGCAAGGTCGCCTGCCTTGGCGTGGATGCGAGATTCAGATTCGGTCGACGCCAGATTCGTTGGTCAGATTCAGCTCTAATTTAGGATTTTAGGACAGGTGCTGGCGCGCAGGACACATCAGTAGCTGCGGTTTTAAAAGATCTTGCTACCCCCCCCCCCCCATGCTTAGGTCACACCTTGTCAGGGCTGGTGAAATTTGCTCAGAATGCTTTCAGTATAATATATCTGTAATCTTCTGAATCTGCTGCTGGAAGACAGACACACACGTTTGATGAATCTGCTATCGGTAGGAACGTACTCTGGTTCGTCTACTGACAGTGAATTTGGGAACTTCAATTTCCTCCTAGACTGACCAACACGACGCTGTCCTTTACAACTACGCCAAACAGGGACATCATCATCAGTCTTGCCGTCACCTTCTACCTCAACCTCACCGTCAACCTGACTGTCGCCCTCTTCTTCGGCAGGTCTCGGATCTCGTTCACGATGACGTCACCGGCCATCGTGGTGAAGCGCCCTCTTCCTGGCAACAAGTCGGCTGTGCTGGGCCGGGCGGCCACCGCGCCTGCCGCCCCCGCCCCTGCCCCCGCCCCAGCCGCCGCCGGCGGTGGTGCCACCAAAGCAGCGCCTCTGGTGCCCTATGGCACGGGCGACTCGGCTTCCGACGACTCGGATTCTGAGAACCGCGCCGCCGGTCCTGCCAAGGGCTCTGCGACCTCCTCAGCTCCTGCGCCTCCGGCGGCTTCGTCAGCTGGTTCGACAGCTAAGGGGTTGGCGGCGACCACAGCAGCGTCAGCAGGTTCAGGAGCGGCAGTCAAGAAGCCGGCAGCTTTAGCCTCCCCGGCGACTCCTGCACGAGTTCTGGGAGAGCGGCAGCCCCGCGCGCCAGCGGCCACCTCACCCTGGCTGGTGAAAGAGGTGCCCGCGGTGCCGGGCTCGCCTTCTCTACACAGTGAGGAGAGTGCGACCAGCCACGGGAGTGTCGGATGCACCAGTCCCTGGCTCGTTACTGAGAAGGTGAGAGAGGGGAGGGAGGGAGAGAGAGAGAGAGAGAGAGAGAGAGAGAGAGAGAGAGAGAGAGAGAGAGAGAGAGAGAGAGAGAGAGAGAGAGAGAGAGAGAGAGAGAGAGAGAGAGAGAGAGAGAGAGAGAGAGAGAGAGAGAGAGAGAGAAGAGAGAGAGAGAGAGAGAATGGGAGATGAGAAGAGAAGATGAAAGAGGATGATGAAGTGAGAATGGTGGATTTGATTTGATTTACTTATGACGAAGTCATTTCCGATCTTCTTTTGGATGCTACGCGCCCGAATGTATCAATCAAGTTGATTAATTGTGTTGGGCTCTTAGCTTATCGCAATTTTTAACGAAGTGTGAAATGAAGAAATGTGTCATAAATCAACTTTGAGCACCATAATGTACTTTTTGAACGTTGTCTCTCCCTTATGCTGCGCAAACTCATGTCTTTTCTTCGTCACCTTTCTAAAAGTTTACCGATATGACTGACCGCCCTTCTGGCAAACGTCTGGTTGGGCTGAATATAACTAAGTATAACTCTGAGACGTGTTTTATTCCCGCCCACAGGAGGGCGGCCCGGCGGTGCCTCTGAAGGCGGACCCCACCCCGCCCGGCTGGAAGGTCACCCCGCTACCCGCCAGGTCACCGCAGAGTGACACCTTTGACCCGAGGTCAGAGGTGCGGCCCTCGCCTCCGCCTATACGCAGGTGAGCAGGTGGACGGGATCAGGTCAGGTTAGGTCGGCTGGAGACACTGCTCTTGAGCGCATTGGTGGACTTTTCGACGCTTTAGGTCGTGTGCCTTAGCTCATCTTTTGTTCTTTTTTATTGTTTTTTTTTTTTTGTGTTTGAAAATCGATATTTTTTCTACGGAACGCATTATTATATTTAAATAAGTAATTTCTTTTATATGCAAATATTTATGTTGCCACGCTTGTGAACATTAAGTAAGAGGGAAACGGTGGTTAGGCGTTCTTCCTTTTACGTCTTTCTTACACTTTTACGTTCATCGTAATAAATACAGAAGTCCAGCTACGTAAAAGCGTTTTCAGGCCTTTTTAGAGGATAATCAACTAGAACATATATTTTTTAGAGCATGCAGAAAGCTTGTAAAAAGCTTAGAGCTTGTAGAGAGCATTCGATCACAAGGTAACGTTGCAAGTGGCGCCTTGCGTCTAATCGAAATGTTATGTCTATTTTTGCACTGCTCCTCCCTCAGCCTGGGAACAATCCCTTTTGGGTCAGAATGAGATTGATTTGTTTTGCCCGTTCCGACTCCGGGCGGAGCATCCCACTCTGCGTCATTCGGTAGCGTTTTACGAGGACTTGACGCAGTTGAACTGCATTTGATTGCTATTTGTTCTGCTGAAAAGGTCTTCTTTAGCGACAACCGATGACAATACAGACAGATGCCTCCAGTCATAGATGAATCCAGTACTGAGTGGTTATATAAGAACTGGGATTGCCCTCTAGGAAATGATTAAGAGTATATACGCCCTAAGTCATTTGCTTGTAGAAAATATTCCTAGTTGTAAGAAAGCTTATTTTATGGGATCGTTTTCGTATCATACAAATATTAATTAATGAAAAAGTCAATAATAATCGCTCTAATAATGATCAAACATCCTTAGCCAGCGTGTTTGTTTGTTTTTATGCTAAATCGCGATCCCGTCCTTCTCCCCAGTAGCCGCTACATAGTGTAAAGGACCGTTCTTATTAGCGGCAACAACAGAGCCGCACGGGGGCGGGCCGTCGCCGCTCCATTTCGTACGTAATTCGGCGCTGAACAAACAACCGGTAGCACTTTGTTTTGCCCGTCCCGGCCGTCTTTCTGCCAGAGCCTGCTTTCGCCTTGAGTCTGTCGATAACATTGGCAGCGAGACGTCAGCTCGGGGAACTAGGCCACGGCACTGGATAAAGTGATTCGGAGAGGGGTGAACGAATGACGGAGAGGATGGGAGATGACACGGGCGGATGTCTTGTTTTGTACAAACGAGGCGCGGGTGTGTGTTTCAGAAATGGTGGCGATAAGTTTCGCCTGACAATTGGCTACGCGATGTGTTAAAATTGTTGGGTTTTTGCCTGATATTTTTACGTTGGTCTGGATGAATACTTCTTAGCATCAACTGCACTATTTTCACTTCGTTGACTTTTCGATGTTTGTGTGAGGCTGCACTGAATTTTTTTGCCAAACACTCATTGACTTCAGATGTGCCCAAATTTATTTTGCATATTGACGTTTTTTATATTAATCGGCCAATGTTGCGATGCAGGGAGGCAATAGAGAGTATGATTGGCCCATTTCTCACGGCATTCTCGCCTCTATTGGGAGGCGCTCGTGCGTTGAGGCGGCCGATATTGATGTGTGGCTCACGGCGGTTTCGCAGTAGCTGTAGCAGGCGATGGGGTTTCATGGTTTTCCGCCGCCTCCGCGCCTCTATAGAATTCGCGCGGCGCTGCTTGGGACTTTTCTGGGTGCCGTTGCCAGGCAGAGATGAGATTCCGCAACTTCGGGCGATGGCCGCACAGCAGTGCAGTGGTTGCTGGGTTAAAATGGTCGGAATAGGGTGGGCTGATGGCCTGAATGAGGTGCGAGATGTCCTGAATGAAGGCCAGCCGGCTTTTGTTGCACAGTGGGAGGTGGCGTGAAATATAAATCCCTTGCTCTCTGTGTTCAATCAGATGTATCCGTAACAAAAGAGCATCTTCAAAAGTCGGCAAGAAGAGGAGGGTATCGAATGCTGTCATTAGTTGTGCTGGCATCGAGCGAGTATTGACGTCATTCTCGCCGATAATGATTTGGTCGTCATCTGATATCGCTGCGTTCTGGATAAAAGTCTTCTGGCGTTTCCATGCGCCGCCTGTCATTCCTTAATGTTCTGTTTTTCCTCAACGTAATGTAATTTTCTTGAGCATCTTGAATTCTGCCATTCCAACGTCCCTTTAATTATCGAATTTTGAAAAGCTCCTATTGCTTATTTTAATTGCCTGATAGTACATGGTGGCTTGTGCGTCTCTGACACTGGCTCCCCCCACGCTTCCATCTCTATATCCTATATATCACTCTTATTTGTTCGTCTTTTGTCTTCGTTCTATTCCTCCACTATTTCTTCTCTTCTTCTCTACCTCTCTGCTTTTCCCTTCTCCCTCTACTCTGTCCCCTGTCTGCTCTCTCCCCATCCTCTACATCTCTCCCCTCTGTGCCCCCTCCCCTCCCCCCTATCACCCATCTGACCCACCCATCCCTCCTCCAGGGCTGGCAGCGTCGACTCCCCGGACGGGCCGCGGCATATCCTCAGCAAGATCTCGCGCAAGCTGAAGACCCTGACGTCTCGCCCGGAGAAGCGGGCGCTGGGTGAAGACGTCGGGAGGCCGGCCAAGCGGCCCCGCCCCGCCCCCGCCCCCGCCGACAGCGGGGCGGGGCGGAAAGTGGGCAACAGCGTCTTCTTTGATGAGCAAGAGAACAGGTGAGGTGGGGAGGGGGCGTGTGAATGCGCCCAGGTGCATCCTCTTTGACCTTTGGGAAAAGAACGCTGTGGAATGGACGGACCGAAAGAGGGCATTTAATTAATAATCAAGTAGAGATCTTCTGAGCTGAAAGTTTAAAACAAGGCACCTTTGCCTATATCAACAGCTTTCCCGCGACGTGCTGTGTTTCTTGCGACATACCTTTTCTGTTCATCTTTCCTACCATTTTATGTATTGACATTTTATTCGACGCTCCTAAGCCTGACTACCTGACTATTTTCCACCGTCACTGTGATCCGATTCTAAGACATTTCCAGCGGTATGGTCGTGTCCGGCTCAGGCCATAAGCTCCAGGTGTCTCCCGTTCGCAGCATGTCGCGCTGCCAGCCTCGGTGACTTAGCCGATTCAGGCCTTCAGCACCCTGTCTGCCCGCATCCGGGTATTGTGTAATGTCTGCGGCGTGCCAGTCTGGTGTTCCCTCAGGGTGGAAATCGGTGTCTCCCGGATTTCGGAGGCCTTTTGCGATGCTTCAGTCTGGTTTTCCTCTGGGGTGGAAATCAGTGTCTCCCCGTATTTCGGAGGGGGATCTAGCATTTCGTGGTGTTTCAGTCTGGTGTTGTTAGGCATGGAAATCGGTGTATCCCCGTATTTTGGAGGGTGATAAGGCTTTTCGTGGTGTTTCAGTCTGGTGTTATTCAGTATGGAAATTGGTGTATCCCCGTATTTTGGAGGGTGATACAGCTTTTCGTGGTGTTTCAGTCTGGTGTTATTTAGGATGGAAATCGGTGCATCACGTGCTCAGAATGGTGATAAGCGTTTTGCGTTGTCTATTTGTCCGCATAGAAATGTCGGTGGGAAGCATAGAAAATATGGTATTTTGAAAGCGTTCAAAAGTGTTGTGTGTGGCTGCCACTACCCACTGCTAGTAACCTGCTGGCTAATGAATCATTCGTATGTTTGTGGTATGTTTGTGTATGGGTGGCGGTGACTAAATTCCTGGCGCCCGGAAACCCAAAACCGTCATCATCACCTGTTGTTTTCGCTTTATTCCAGTTCCACCATATCAAGTTATTTTATTAGTTCTGCGACACGACTGGTGTGTCTAATCATTCTCCACAAAATTAGTCGTACGTGCATGTAGATATGGACATTTACATGATGTCAATTACAGTTATGACATTTCCATGTCAGAAAGACAAACTTCATTAAATTAAAGGGAAAAGTTAGATGGATCTAACGGTCGGGCCAAAGAAAAGATTAATCAATCCATATTTCTGTGTCAATGCTTTAAAAAAATCGACTCTGCCATTTTAGTCTTTGCCTGGAGCATGGTTTTGCCTAAACGTGAGTTAGTTTACTGCCTTTTGGTTAGTTGAGTGAGTTGTTTGGTAGTGTTGATCAATGATCCTTTGCTTCGTGCGCTGCGAGTCTGTTATTTGAAATATGAGCTGTAGTCGTGGAATTAGAGCATGTGTTTCGCCATTGAGCGATATCCTAGCCAGAATAAGGGAAAACACAGTCCTTGGTGATGCAAAGCTAGGCTTTGCTTTCGGTACTTCACTGAAACAAAACATTTTCCCTGTTACTAACTATCAATGTATTTTCTGCAATCTGCATTATGTTGACCATTAATTTGCGATCATCATTAGTAGACTCCTTGTGCTTTTCATTCCATATTTTTACATTCCTTTACATCAGCTGAAAATATGAAGCTGCCCCGTAATTTCCACTTTGTTTCTATTACGATTCCTCGGTATAATTGCTACAAGTGAGTGTAGCTAAGCTTTTACAAATTCAGCATTTTGATAACCTTTGCTATTGCATTTTTCCCAGTGCGGCAACACCGGCCGACTCTGTGGCAAACGGCGCCACAGCGGCGGCAAACGACGGCGCAGCGGTGGCGAACGGCGACGCAGCGCCGGCAGAAGCGGTGCGCCCGCCCGGCCGCTCTATGCCCCTGGTGACACCGGATGGACTGCAGGACTGCGGATCAGGTGACGGTGCCGCGCTGGCCTCGGCCCCGGCCGGCCCGATCCCGCAGAAGGAACACGTGGTGAACGGAGAGAAGGAACACAAAGCCAAGGCGCCTTCGGACAGTGCTAGGTCGTCTGAAGTGGACTCGAAGTCGTCAGTTGGGAGTTCAGCGTGTTCAGGATCGACAAAGGCACGGTCTGAACATGTGGAATCGCTCAATGGGGAGAGACATAAAAGGGACTCACACATGCACAAGAAAGACAAGAGTCGCGGGTTGGGTGACCGGGGAGAAGTCTCAGCACCGGGAAGTCGATCTACTTCCTCGGAGAGGCTCTCCCCACCATCGGAAAGACCGAAATCTTCCGAAAAATCGAAATCATCAGACAGGTGTAAATCCTCCGAAAGATCTGACCGATCGAAATCTTCCGAAAGATCAGATAAATCAAAATCATCGGACAGCTCAAAATCGTCGGACAGATCCAAATCATTAGAACGAACCAAGCCATCTGACCGACCGGCCTCTTCAGTTCGTGATCGGCCCGCCGCCTTCACGAAGCCTTCCTGGCGTTCGGGGTCTCAGGACTCTGGGCTTTCGCCTACCAAGCGGTCTGAGCGTCCTCACCACAGACACCAGGAGCGTCAGTACAGGAGGAGGAGTCGCTCCTCGTCCTCCTCCTCCTCTGAGGACGACAGGAGGAGGAGGCCGTCCTCCGCACCGGCCGCGGCCGGAGGAGGAGGGGGAGGGGATGCGCTGGCGTTCCTCACTTCGGGAGCCGGACTGACAGGATACGGACGAGATGGTGAGTTGGGGAAGGAGGGGAAGAGAGAGAGAGGGGGAAGAAGAAGAAGAGAGAGAGAGAGAGAGAGAGAGAGAGAGAGAGAGAGAGAGAGAGAAAGAGAGAGAGAGAGAGAGAGAGAGAGAGAGAGAGAGAGAGAGAGAGAGAGAGAGAGAGAGAGAGAGAGAGAGAGAGAGAGAGAGAGAGAGAGAGAGAGAGAGAGAGAGAGAGAGAGAGAGAGAGAGATAGATAGAGAGAGATAGAGAGATATAGAGAGAGATAGAGAGTTTGAGGGAGACATTGAGTTACCTATTGATCCCAAAGGCAAATTGTGGTCATTATTTAATTGGCATGTAAGTCTTAATCAAGCGATTTTGCCAATTTACCCACTATCCCACCATTGTGTCATGTGATCTGGAGCGGACACTCTGTAACCCGAAATATGGAACAGGCTGCCCCATTTCTTCCAGTTTCACTGGTTATTCTATGTTGCTTGACGGAATCAATTGAGCTAGCTCTCGTATTGATCGGCCCCAGGCTGAGTTACGGGCGACTCGCAGCCCGTATGACGGGCAGGTCTGTCTTGAATTCAACCATTTTCGGTATGTTTCGTGTTTTATATGTTTTTTTTTCAATGCGTCGAGATGTCACCCCTTAACCCGGCAGGCGGTGGGCCCACCAGCCACCTTCCGCGCGGTGGGGGGGGGGCATTTTTTGCCCCCCCCCCCCGTATCTCCGAAACTACTGGACGGATCCGGAAAATTCAAACGGCGTTCGATAGCCCTGTCAAATTTGTTGAGAGAAACCAAATTTCATTGACCTCGGGGTCACCGATGACGTCACAGGTCAGGTCAAAGATAAAATGTTTCACCGTTCACGGGGCTTCTAGGGAAAGCGCTATCACACCGAGTAAAACGCATTTTGTCGAAAATCAGCGATAAGGCGTCAGTTGTCTAGTACATAGGTATGTTGCTATTAGAGGTCACTGGTCATACCAGGTCAGGTCACAGGTCAGGTCACCAAAGGTCATCAAGGGTCACCACATGAGCCCAACTTTACTAAGGTTATGCGATGCATCATGCATGTTTTATGGCCAGTTTTTCATTTCCAACTCAATGGTGTTGGTTATAAGACCATCAGGTGCGATTTAGGTCACTTTCTGGTGGAGGTCAGGTCAAGGTCAGATCAAAAAAGGTCAAATTTCAAAGTTGATATTTTTGCATAAAATGGGTATCGATTCGATGCAGCTCGTCACGGGGAGTCTAATGGTGGTCTTTGTTTTGCGCTACGAGGTCTAGAATTGCTAAAAATTGAGTTTGAAAATTTGACGTCATCAATTTTGAACAGTTTTTTCGCTATAACTTGGCCAAAAAAGAGGTATCAATCTCAAATTTGGTGTGTAGATAGAAGGCGGTAGGGACTATCACATATATTCCGTTTTTTTCGAAATTCAAATAACTTTTTGGATTTTTTGGCTATTATATTCGAAAAATCTAGTTTTTGATTTTTGGGGGTCAAAATCCAAAAAAATTGAAAAACCGAAATAGCAGTTTTGTAGCCCTTTTGATTCCACACCTTTTATGTCAGAAACATTTTTCAGTATCTCTAAAGTTGTAGGCCTGACAGCTCTTCCCGCGAAACCTTTTTTGGGTCGAAAATGGCAAAAATGACGTCACTCTGACGTCATTAGCGGCCAACCTATCATAGCCTTTGGAAATGTGCGCTAGCTGCTCCCGGGAGGGTACTGGAAGTTTGGTGACGATCGGCGCAGCGGTTCTCGAGATATATTGAAAAAACTAAAGGGGGGGGGGGCAAAAAAATTCCCCCCCCACCGCCTGGAAGGTTAAAATTTCATACAAATCGTTGTCTTAGATAACAAAACCATGTAAAAATTTTGTTAAGATCCAACCATATCCAGCGAATAATGTTTGCATACCATCTTTAACTTCGGGTTCTATTTTACACACGTTCCGTGTCATGCACCTGCCAACAAGTCGTAACATTGTCTCTGCGGAAATTACCACTGTTGTCACTTCCCCATCGTTTCAACACCTGTCCACCCAGTCTGCATAAATGTCTCGCTGGCGGACAGCTAAGGGCTCCTCTGACCCCAACACACCCACAGCGCATGCATACGGGTGGTTGGAACGGCCGGCGGCTCGGTCCCTGCGGCCTCGTTCTGTTTTGTGTCCGGCTTGTCGTGTTCGGGTGCACCGCTGGTGCAACCCGAATGGTTTCCTAGCGATACCAGTGGTTTTCTGGTTCCAGGCTGGTAGTTTGCTGGTTATGAGATCGTAATTTGCCGGTAGTTGGCTGGGAATTCGTTGGTATTTCGCTGATTATCCTCTGGTTGTTGATTTGCTGATTGTTTTGTTTGCTGTTCGCTGTTGTTTTAGTTGTAGTTCGCTGGTAATTCAATGATAATTCGTCGATCATAGGGGCCGAACGGGGGGGGGGCACCGTGCCCCCTCCCTTGATTCTGCCATTTTAACATAAGCCCTATGGGCGTTGCAGGGAAAGAATGGGACCAAAAGTCGGCAGTGCCCCCCCCCCCCCCCCTCCTTAATTGAAGGTGCTCCGCTGATACTGTCGCCGATAGCTTGTTAGTAGTTCGGTGGTAATTCAGTGATGTTTTGCTGATAATTTGCCAGTAATTTCCTCTATATTATCTGACGAAAGTCTAGTTGCATGTTTTTACAGTTGATTTAATGTCTAGCTGTCACTCAATACGGGAAGAACTTCAGGCAGAGCTTGAGGCGAACTTTGCTGGCTGTCCATTGATTGCAGGATTATTCCTTTTGTGGAGTTCGGTTAGGATTTGTCAACAAAGCACTCGAAAGGGAGGAAGTGTGTGAGTTAGAATGTGTGACAGTGCCTTCAGCCGGATGTGTTTTGTCCACATCGCTCTTTGTAACAAAGTCCATAATTTTGGCAGGGCAGATATGATGTCGAGATTTTTTCACTGTCGCACTTCGTTTTACATTATAAAGACATTTATCAAAGGTGCCCCTACTGGCATTTAGACGACTTTTAATTCAATAACTCCTGCTCTTTTGTTGTTTGCTCCTACTCCTGCTCCTGATGCCGAATTTATGAATTTCTTAACGTGAAAATTGTCTCGCGCTGGATGTATAAAGCATTAACTTTTTGACTGTCAGATCTTCGTCAAAAGGTATTCACTAGTAGACAGACCACCGCCGTTTGATAAGTGCTAACTAACAACGCCTTGTCACATGAATCTGTACAAAGTTCGGCTCCGGATTCGCCGTAGTGATTAAAGGCCCAGTGAGGGCCTTCAGCAGTGGCCGAGCACTGCCTGGAGCACAGATAATACGGGCGTCTACGACCAATTTCGCCCGTGTATCCCGTTCACTGGGTGCGTCTCAGAGGGCAGATAACGCCTGGGGAGCGGTTTCCCGGCAGGGACTGACCAGCCGGAGATAGCGCCACGGCGGGGCTGTTTATGAGGTGCTCCAAGGGAAGATATTGGCACAACAAGTAGGCGGGATTGGAGACAGATTTACTGATCAATCGGAGGAAGGCTGTATTGCACAGATGGGGCACTTTTCCGTACTTTCAACGACTAGCTCATCTGTGCCAAACAATATGTGCTAGGATTTAGGAAGCTAAAATTGAATAAATATAAAAGAATAAATATTGGGGTAACCAAGGTAACCATTCAACCAAACAAACAAGTACAGAAGTTGTTATTGTAAGTGTTTGTCATCCGACTCGCATAAGCTCTTCTTAACCCGCGCCCCGTAGGGCTACCGGCGGACCCTACCACCCGTAGGGGGGGGGGGGGCGTTTCGGCCCCCCCCCCTAAGATCTCGGAAAGTTACCGGCCGATTTTCAAAATTCAAACGGCGTTCGATAGCCCCACCCGGGAACTACCTTGTGACCAAATTTCATTGACCTAGGTCAAACCGATGACGTCACAGGTCAGGTCAAAGGTCAGATTTTCACCGTTCACAGGCAATTCAAGAAATGTGCTGTGAAAGCGAATAAATTGGTAATTTATTGAAAACCATCGATGGTACATTGTTCGTCAAACACATACTTTGCTATCTGAGGTCACTGATACCAGGTCAGGTCACAGCGAGGTCAGGTCACCGGGGGTCACAATATGAATGTGTCGTGTGATACATGTTTTATGGTCCATTTTACATGACAAATGCGATTATGTGGATTAGGCAGCCTTTGGGGCCAGCCTAGGTCACGTTTTGGTGAAGGTCAGGTCAAGGTCAGGTCAAATTAGGTCAAATTTCAAAGTTGATATTTTTGCATAAAATGGGTATCGATTCGATGCAGCTCGTCACGGGGAGTCTAATGGTGGTCTTTGTTTTGCTCTACGAGTTCTAGAATTGCCAAAAATTGAGTTTGAAAATTTGACGTCATCATTTTTGAACAGTTTTTTCGCTATAACTTGGCCAAAAAACGAGGTATCGATCTGAAATTTGGTATGTAGATAGAAGACGGTAGGCACTATCACATATATTCCGTTTTTTTCGAAACTCAAAAAACTTTTTGGATTTTTTGGCGAATATATCCAAAAAAATATTTTTTTGATTTTTGGGGGTCAAAACTCAAAAATTTCAAAAATTCGAGATAGCAGTTTTGTAGCCCTGTCAATTCTACACCTTTTATGTCTTGATCATTTTTCTGTATCTTCAAAGCTGTAGTCCTGACAGGTCTTCTCGCGAAGGTCTTTTTTCGGTCGAAAATGACAGAACATGACGTCACTCTGACGTCATTTGTGGCCAACCTATCATAGCCTCTGGAAAAATTTTTGGTCGCAATGTGTAAAATTGATGCCCGGAGGGGTCCTGAAAGTTTGGTGGCGATATCTCCAGCCGTTTAGGAGATATCGACCGAAAAGGACAGGGGGGGCCGTTTCGGCCCCCCCCCTACGGGGCGCGGGTTAATCATAATGTAAGACGTAAAATGCTAAGCTTATCCTTAGATCGCTGGATGGCTTATCCTTGTTTCTGTGAATGTTTGTCCCCAGTAAAAGAACTTTAGACGATAGCGTTTGCCGGGTTGAGTCGCGTATCCTGACGGGCACAATACGCCATCACTGTTGACCGACGTAAGGCCTGATGGGGACGGTAAATGAGGAGGCTTTGAAGACATATTAATACGTCCTATTCTTAGATCTGTTGTTTGCTTAGAAGTTCGCTGTAGATGTGCGTTTTCAATCTGCTCAGCATCATTTCCGTTCCACCTGTGTATAAGAACTCGCCTTAGAGGTGAGTACTTACTGCATCTCAACATGTGACCCATCTGCTTATCCAGCGCAGCGGCCACGTGACCTGCGCGCCAGTCTAGTGCAGTGGCCACGTGACTCATCTGCCTGCCCAACCACGTGACGCGTGCGCCTGTCTGTTGCAGTGACCACGTGGTCTGGAGAGAGGCCCGGCCTGGAGAGAGAGCGGGAGAGGGACAGAGAGGAGCGGCGACGACGGGAAGAGCTGGACGAGTACAATGACGAGCTGGACGCTGGACGGGTGGGTAGAGTGGAGGAGAGAGAGAGAGAGAGAAAGAGAGAGAGAGAGAGAGAGAGAGAGAGAGAGAGAGAGAGAGAGAGAGAGAGAGAGAGAGAGAGAGAGAGAGAGAGGATGAGGGAGAGAGAGAGAGAGGATGAGGGGGAGAGAGAGAGAGAGAGGGAGGGAGGGAAGGAGGGAGGGAGGGAGAGAGAGAGAGGGGGCAGAGAGAGAAGAGCGGCTATGAAAAAAAAATTTGAAATACGATACAATATGTGTCTTGTCCTCTGCATGGGTGGGATGCGTGTATTATTTGTGTTACTCCGGTATTCGAGCTAATTACATACTTTGAAGTCATTTGTAACTCACCTTTCTTCATTTTTTATCATAAATCAATAGTTGTTTGACCTTAACAAGTGGCAAGTCGGAACAAACTGGTTCATTTGCAATTACAAGTGGCTGCAAGCTGGAAACATAGTTGAAACGTTTTTCGACTGCCATCTCATTTAGAATGCTAGTGTGTTTCTGAACACCGCCTTTATTAGTGGATACATTAGCATATATTATTAATGACCTTGTGCGCGCTTGGCGTTCCATGTAACCCTTATACAGAACAGGAGCAACTTACATTCCTTATCGCCTCGCTTCGCCTTTCCTGCTTCAGTTAAGTCCTTTATTTATACGCTCATTAAAGCTCTTCCGTGCAGTTGCTCAGTAACGTGGTCGCTATGTTCTGTGGCAACCCGGATCGCTAATGCAATTACGAGTAGGCTGTGTTTTCTGTTTTGTCGACCGCCCAGTACTGCAGCTCGGGTTACCGTATCAACATTCAGCCTTATCAGCCGGCCGGGTCGAAGCGCCTGATTGCAGCTAGACCTCGGCAATCGGCACTAATGACTTGATTTAATTGAGTCGGCACTGTGCCTTTGGAGTGGAAATCCGGCGTAAATTGTGAACAGACGGAACACAAATCGATAGTTGAGCAGCCTCGGTAGGCATTTGTTTGAATCAACCAATTATGGCGCCTTGGTTGGAATAGTCGCAAACAAATGTTATACTGAAACGGCTTTCGGAAGGAGCCATTCTTCTAAATCAAAGAATAGAATTAAACTACTCAATAACCATGCAGATCATTTGATGCATCTCGCTGCTAAAGCGCTGGGACAGGAAATCTTGCCATGATCTGGCGGCGTTTTAAAATGAGATACCGCGCCTCTTAACGTCCTTATTCGACGATTCGTCAGAAAGGCGCCCATCTGGATAACTTTATGACAAAAGTCGTGACTCCTTTTGACCCTGGCGATCGGGGCAGGGTGTGGGTGGATAGATTTTTACATGGAGGAGCTCGGGATGTGATAAGCTAATGGTACGTCTTGAGAAGGAAGGGAGGGAGGGAGGGAGTGGGGTAGCCGGACAATGAAGGAGGTAACGGGGGGGGGGGGCAGGGCGGGGCGCTCTCAGCTTCTTCAACGGAAAAAGCTGTTGAGTGTTGAGTGAACACAAATGCAAGGTGAACGATCCGTAGAATGGATTTAAACAATTGGGACACTCCATACCAATGTATTGCTCGCTTGTATACGGTTTCAGCGTTAGAGTATGAGCAGTGAGGTGCAAGTCAATATGACGATAACAAATAGTTCCTTACTAGGGGATCCTGGCTTGCTTCGCGGCGCAAAAGGTTATGAAATGATGAGACATAAAATTTGGGATCGAATGGTGTTTGTCCCGTGTCGATCGGCTTTCTAGAAGCTAAGATAATCGCAAAAAACCTTTTCGACTTGCAAAAGTACTTGGTACTTGCTTGGTATTGGCAAAAGTACTTGGTACTTGCTTGGTATCTGGAACATGCAAAAAGTACTTGGTACTGGCTTGGTACTTGCAAAGGTACTTGGTACTTGAGGCAAAAAATTTGGGATCGAATGGTGTTTGTCCCGTGTCGATCGGCTTTCTAGAAGCTGAGATAATCGCAAAAAAACCTTTTCGACTTGCAAAAGTACTTGGTACTGGCTTGGTACTTGCAAAGGTACTTGGTACTTATTGGTACCGGGTTCGCCGGGTAGGAAAACTTGCCACTCTACTCCCCCCCAGTTCCCAGTTCCCCCCCCCCCCCCCCCAGAATTTGGTATCGATCGGTGTTGGTCCGGTGTGAATCGGTCGTGAATAGGCCTTGTTTGTCATTTCTTCCTGGGATTAAAAACGTCTCTGGCATGGCCGGCACTCGGTGATGACGTCACGGTCACTTCTGTCTTCATCGTCCTTGTTTGTCATTTCTGGTTTGGATTAAAAAAACTCAGCTTTGTGTCATTTCATGCTGGGATAAAAAAATGTGACAGACACTCGCAGTCAGATGAGCACCAACACAGGTGCTGCCATCTGCCCCGGGCACCGTCTCCGCGCTGTGATCGGCTATATTTCTTTCGGGACGCGTGAATGGCGAAAGTTTATTGGTCTCACCGGGGCTATTGAAGACGCTCTTTGTCACGGTATCATTCGTTTTTATAAACGTGCTTTGTGTGCGCCGTATCGAAGGATAATAGCGGTAGGCCCAAGGTAGAGCTTCAAATCCTACCGATAGATGGCGCAAACTACAGTTGGTAAAATCGGGACCTGTTTTTCACGAATGGCTGGTGCATGTTTGGAGCTAAGGCAAAAGCGTGCATAGCGTAGAGTGGCCAACTATGTCACGATGATATCTAGACTGATTACAGTGTCGTACGTTGGTCGTGCTCACTACAGGGCGCCGCAGAGCGTCGAACGGAGAGAGGAACTCCTCACCCGGTTAAAATATAGTCTGAGATTCTCGTTCCGTAACCATCAAATCCTCGCTAAATAGTAATTGGATGACGTAGGTACGCACTCCACCATGCAGTGGAGAACAGGTACACAGCTGTATTACGGTGAAACGCTGTCGGCCGGAGTCGCCGCAGGCTGTTAACAAGCTTCAGGTGCTATTCTCGGTTTGACAAAAACAAGTCTCAGTTGTAGGGATTCACATCCGTCTTATCACAGGTCACAGCTATTGCTTGAGATACAGCAGTGGCACTCATATTGCTCGCCTGTAGACCTCAGGCTACGCACCGACATTTGGCAGGCCTTTGTGCATCTGGCCCAATCTCGCCAAGTTATGTAAACTTAATTTCGGGGTAGTATATTTGTAGTTATGTAGTGGGGTAGTTTGGTATTTTACCCGAAATTGAGTTTACCGCACTTGGGCTGGGGGGATCCATGTGATCGCAAGGCACCTCGCAGTTGCGATCAAACGTAAGTTGAATCGGAACAGATATTGGAGGGATCCATCACATCGTAGGCTAAGTAGATACGCAAGTTGTATCGCAAATGGTGAAGATACGAACTAACTTTACGAATCTTCTCGGTCGATCGGAAGGCCGATCGTAGCGAAGCTTTACCTCTTTCTCAAGAGAAAAATATAAGAAATTTTCAAAATTTTCACAAAACCGAAATATATGTTAAACAAATGTGGTTGATGAACACGTGTGCAAAATTTGAAGTCGATTTCTTCAAAAATGGCTGCGCTAGAGCGTTTTAAATTTACACGTTGAAAACGGTCACTTTCACGTCTTTTTTGTAATCACTTTTTCAATTTTGAAATTTAAAAAGTGTTTTGGGCAATTTTTCGCGTTAATTGCGAAAATCTGACCAAAACATGTATCGCACCATCAATGATCCGATACGCCATCAGAGACCGCGCCGCGGACAGGTGGGCGCGGCGATACCTAGGCCGCGTGGGGGTTACACTGGTGTTCGGGAAGGGCTATGTCAACGCGAGGCAGGCCGCGGGGGAGCCGGTTGCGGCGCCGGTCCGTATTTGTCGGCGCCTAACAGTGCAGCGGTGCGTTTATGGCGGAGGGAGGGGAAGCGGTGTAGTGTCGGCAAGGCCGCACACAGGAGAGGGCACACGGGCCTCCCCCCCATTCGAGTTGGGGCCCCTAATCTTTAGACCGCCGAAGACCATGTAAAATGAACTGAAATAATGATTGAAAAGACCGGGAGGGCCCATCTCGTTCCCCAGCAGGCCCATACGAGTCCATAAATGCCCAGTAGCGCAGCCAGGGGTATTGTGGTGAAATTTCAATGGCCCTCAAAAGACCTCAAAGGGCCCACAGATGGGGTCACCGGGTCCTCAGATGGTCTCGAAGGGCCCTCGGTTAGCGTCAAATGGCCCTCATCTGGTGTCAAAGGGCCCTCAGATGGCCAAATGAAGGGCCACAAGATGGCCTCAAAGGGCCCTCAGATGGGTTCAAAGGGCTCTCAGCCAACGTTAAACCTACCTCAGAAGACCTTAAAGGGCGTCAAAGGGCCCTAAACCTGCGTCAGAGGGCCCTGAGCTCGCGTCAAACGACCCTCCGAAGGCCTTAAAGAGTCCTTAGCTTGTGTCAGAGGGCCCCCAGCTGGTGTCAGTGAGCCCTCCTCAGCTGGCGCCAAAAGTCCATCTGAAGGCCTCAAACGGTCGTCAGCTGGAGTACAACGGTCCTCAGATGCCGTCACGCGGCCCTCAAAAGTCTCAAGGAGCCCTTATAAGGTCTCAAAGGGCCCTCATTTGGCCTCAAAAGGCCCTCCGCTAGCGTTAACCGGACTTCAGAAGGCCTTAAAGGGCCCTTATCTGGTGTCAGAGGGCCCCCAGCTAGTGTCAGAGGGCCCTCAGTTGGCGCAAAATGGCCATCAGAAGGCCTCAAACGGTCCGTAACTGGAGTCCAACCGCAACGGTCCTCAGGTGGCGTCAAGCGGCCCTCAAAAAGCCTCAAAGGCCGCTTAGAAGGCAGCAAAGGGCCCTCATATGACCCCAAAGGGTCCTCTGCTGGCGTCAAACGGACCTCAGAAGGTCTCAAAGGGCGTCAAAGGGCCCTGAGCTCGTGTCAAATATAAAAGCGCCCTTAGCTGGTGTCAGGAGGCCCCCAGTTGGTGTCAGCGTGCCCTCAGCTGGTGTCAGAGAGCCCTCAGTTGGCATCTACTGGCCATCAGAAGGCACCAAACGGTCCTCAGATGGCGTCCAACGGTCCTCAGCTGACGTTAAGAGGCCCTCAAAAAGGCCTCAAAGACCCCTCGGCTGCTGAAGAGGCCCTTAGCCTCAAAGGAAACTCAAGAGACGTTAAACGGCCCTAAAAAGGCTTGAAAGGGCCCTCTGCTGGTGGCAAAGGGCTCGCATATGACGTCAATAACAGCTTTGTTAAAAACGGACCTGAGAGACCTTGCCGGTCCCTGGTTATAAGGGACTCCTGTCTCTTGCAGTAACCTGAGTGGCCCACGTTTACTGAGGGGCCCCTGGTTATTGAAGGAGTCCCTGGTTACTGGAAGGACCCCTGGTTATCAGAGGGTTCCCTGGTCACCTGGTGGGTCCCTGATCAATTGAAACCTCCCGATCATCTGAGCGCCCCCTGATTGCCTTGGTCTTGGCGTTGGCGTACAGTTTAAAGTCGTCGGCACACTGCGGCCTCCTCTTTCTCAACAAGTCCCTCTATTTCTTCTGCAGCGAGGGCGATTTCGTCAAAATACTCCTCCATCGCGAAGCCTCGTGCGCAGACGCAGTCTTCGGGGCGCTCGCTGCGCCAACTCTTGACGCCAACTGACGGGCTCCAAATGGAACAGATGGACTCCGAAACGAACATGGGAATGCCGACACATGATCCCTCCAAACTTACAGAGGAGGAGATGTCCCTGACAGCCTATTTGCAATAAGGGTCACTTTTACACTATAGACGTATGGGGAATTCGACCTTATCGACATGGTACTACGAGGTCAGCTGATCTGCTTGGCATTTAAATCGTAGTAAAACTGGCATTTAAACGCTGCGAAACAACTTACGTACAACGTAGCTCCGATTTGCCGCTCTTTCTTTTTCATCCCTCCGATTTTCTTCCGATCAAGAGAAGTTTCGTACCGAGAGAAGTTTCGCAGCCACGTCCGATATAACTTACGATAGCACGGATCCCCCCAGCCTTGGTGAAACTGGGCCGTGGAGAACCAATAACGTCTTGTGTTGACATGCGGTCAAATATGTTTGACGCACCCAAACATAATAACTGTCCTGTGTGGGCATCGCGCGTCGTTTTTTGTCATCCTAACCAGCGTTGGAATTCTCATTTTCAGTCCTAGTTGATAAAATCTGTCCGCCGAACAGTAACCTGACGGACTACAGCCACTTACCGCCACCTCATGTCCAGGGGTGGATTTTTTTGTTTTTTTTTTAATTGGGGTTGCACAGCCCTGAAAGGGCGCCCAAAGCGGTTCCGAGGGGCGCAATAGTCCGAAAGTGGGCGCCACCAGGTACGGACGTAAACTTGGCGTTGGGGGGGGGGGGGCGAATTGGCAAAGGGGCCCCTGTAGACCCTCGCTGGGGGGGCGGTGTGTTAGCTTAACCCGCGTACCGCGGAGGGGGGGGGGGGCGAATATCCGCCCCCCTCCCCCTGAAGTTTTTCGTAAGTAGCGGAAAACTTCTGAAACCAGTATGAGACCCTTATATAAGCCCGGCGTAAGATCATTTAAGGCCAGTATTGAGATTGACCCTCATAAACCGGGTGAGACCTCGCACAGCAGTATGGGTCTTTGAACTCCAACGTGGGTCTTACGAGACCTGCCTGAGCCATCAGAGGCCAGTGCGGGCCCGGGGTCATCAAAGGCCAGTGCGGGGTCGTCAAAGGCCAGTTCGGAACCTCTGAGGTGGTGTGAGCCCTTGAGGCCAGCGTTGGTCCTTGAGAGGTCAATGTGGGACCCCTTGACTGGTATGGGCCCTAAGAGACATGTGTGGTGCCAATGCGACCCAAAATAGACACAACTAACGACATGGGGCTCTCAGACTAGCAGCGGCCCTTAAAAACCTGCACGGGCCAAACAGATCGACAGGGGCCCTCCGAGATCGGCAGAGAAAAGGAAGATAGCATGAGGCGCCTATGATGGGCAGGCCCGGGCTGTCAAAGACCTAAATGGAACTATCAGAGATCAGGGACCCTTAGCAGCAGACATGGGCCCTCAGCAACCGATGTGACCCCGATATGGTAATAGACCTTAATGCCGGCCCGCTGCGACGAGATAACGGCCCTCAAATTCCGAAATTCCGACATGGGGACCAACAGAGACTGGCAGGGAACCTTGGAGGACGGCATGAAACGCCAAAAGTTCTTCCTTGGACCCCAGAGACTAAAGATGGGACTCTCAGAGTCTGGTGCGGGACCCTCTGAGGCCTGTTTTGGGCCACCAGGGTCCGGTTCGGTCCATCAGATGCCGGTTATGGCCCTCAAAAGCCGGTTTGGGACCCTGACTGGCCACTGGCCAGTACTGGCCCTCCAAAACCAGTTGGTCATCAGAGGCCAATGTTGGTCCTAAGAGACCGGCATCGGGCCTTCAGAAGCCAGTACGGGCCCTCAGAAGTGCCCAAGGGTTAGTCTTTGTCCGCCAGAGACAGAAATTGGGCCATCCGAAGCCACGGTGTTGGGCCCTAGGAGGCCAGTTTGGGCCGTCAGACACCAGTTTGGACCCTCAAAAGACCAGCGTGGGTCCGTACCGGCAGTGTGAGGCCCTCAGAGACCAGTACAGAGCCTTCAAAGGGCAGTTTGGAACCATCAGAGGCCGACGTGGGCCCTCACATGCCGGTGTGGTATCTTACAGGCCAGCGTGGAGCCCTCAGAGGTCAGTGTGGGGCCCTAAAAGACCAGCATGGGTCGGTGTTGGACCCCAGAGGTCAGCATAGGGCCCTCAGAGGCCGATGTGGACCTTTAGAGACCGGCATCGGGCCTTCAGAAGTCAGTACGAGCCCTCGGGGACACACAAAGGCCAGTCTTGGGCCCCCAGAAAAAGAAATGAGGCCATTAGAGGCGTGGACCCCCAGAGACCAGTTTGGGAGCCCTCGAGACCAGTACAGGGCCCTCAAAGGCCAGTTTGAGGCCCTCAGAGGTCGATGCGCGCTCTTAGTGACCGGCACCCAAAGGTCAGTCCTGAACCCCAGAGACAGAAATGAGGCCATCAAGAGATCAGTGTGGGGCCCTCAAAGGCCGGTTGGGGGACTCCTGATGCCGCTTTAGGTCCCTCAAGAGCCAGTGGAGGGCCCTGGGAGGTCGATGTGGGCTCTCATCGGTCAATGTGGGCCCTCATCGGTCAAGGTGGGCCCTTGACGGCCACTGAAGCGCCCTCAGAAGTCAGGATACTCAAAGACCGGTATGGGGGCTGTTACATAATACCTGGCGTTGGTTTCTTGAGCCTCGTGAGTGACGTGACAACCCGGTAAGAGCCAGGGCCCCTACGCCCATCGAGGCCCATCGGTTGTTTAAGGGGGCAAATTATATGATGGCCCCTGATTTGTCTTTGGGGGGCCATGGCCCTGATGCCCCCCCCCCCCCCCTGCGACCTCCACTGGGCACCACCCCCATGCCCCCCACTGAGCGGTGAGCGGCGCACCAGGAATCGAAATCCACGATTTTTTAAACTGGTCATAATTGCATGTCCGACAGCTCTATACGGCCTTGTGACAGCTCAAGCTCTTGAGAGGAGGGTAGTACCTTCATTAGAGGGGGCGGCGCTGGCATTTGCACTTGAGGCGGCAGCGCCTACACTTAGAGGGGGCGGCACCTAAATTTTATGGGCAGCACCCTAACTTGAGGGGCGACACCCACGCATGGGGGGGGGGGCATCTATCTACATGTGAGGGAAAGGCACCTTCATTTCAAGGGGTGGCACCTACACTTAGGGGGTGGCACCTACATTTGAGGGGGCTGCACTGCAACTAGGCCTTAGAGGGCGGTAACTACACCCTAGAGGGTGCCAACTACATTCGAAGGGACGGCACCTACATTTTATGGGATGACCGATGACACCTATGCATAAGTGGCCGGGGCAAACATTTGAGGGGGCGGCGGGGTACCTTCATTCGAGGGGGCGGCACCTGCATTCGAGGAGGGCCGGCACCTACATCCGAGGGGGCGGCACTAACATTTGAGGGGGCGGCACCTGCATTCGAGTACGGCCGGCACCTACATTCGAGGGGGCGGCACTAACATTTGAGGGGGCGGCACCTACATTCGAGGAGGGCCGGCATCTACATTCGAGGGGGCGGCACTAGCATTTGAGGGGGGGGGGGCACCTACATTCGAGGAGGGCCGGCATCTACATTCGAAGGGGCGGCACTAACATTTGAGGGGGCGGCACCTACATTCGAGGGGCGGCATTTAGGTACATTTGAGGGGGCGGCACCAATATTCAAGAAGGGCCGGCATCTACATTCGAGGGGGCGGCACTAACATTCGAGGGGGCGGCACCTGCATTCGAAGAGGGACGGCGCCTACATTCGAAGGGGCGGCACTAACATTTGAGGGGGCGGCACTAACATTCGAGGAGGGCCGGCATCTACATTTGTTGAAAATCAAAATGAAATAAATAGGGCCGGCTCTCTGGTTTGACTTAAAAAAGCTTGAATATATGAGCACTTCAATTATATTGGTGGCGGTGGTGGCAGCAGATAGCACACTGGCGGTACACAACCTCACACGGCGGCGGTGGCGACAGAACTCAGAACGAAATACGACAACAAAGCGAAATCGGCGCGGTTAGGAAAAATATTCGTGAAGGATGCAGGGGTTACCAAATGGGCTGCCATAGGTAAAATAAAATGACGAGGCGTAAAGGAAAGGTAGGATACAACACAGTAACGATGGAAAACAAATACGGTACGGTAACATGAGGAGAAAAAAGGTCACAGGGCAGTAACGAATAGCGACATACTCCCCACTTTCGAAGTGAGCCATCACTTCGAAAAGTCTCTCCTCACTCGGCACACAGTCACTTTTTCGGCACTCGCCTCGCCGACGCTCACTTCACTCCGACGCCTCTAGTCTCAACAGTTTGTTGATCGGGCGGCGGGTAAGTCGCCCTCTTAGCACGATACTCGCCGCGCGAGCGCGGCCGTCCGCTCCAGACAGGAGGGACACCACGCGCGCCAGAGGCCAGCGACCACGCGGACCTTCCGCGTGCACCAGCACAATCTCTCCGACCTCGGGCAGCCGAACCGGACGGCCGCGCCGAGAGAAGCTCCACGTGCGTAGAGTCTGCAGGTACTCTTTGGTCCATCGCTGAACCAGGTGCTCGCTGATCAGCCGCTGGTGCCGCCAGCGCCGACTCAGGCTGTCCAGCTCGTGGCCAGACGGAGAGAGCACGCCACGGATGGACGTGACCCCGAACAACAGGTGCGCGGGCGTCAGCACGTCGTCGTCACCTGGGGTGAGAGGTCGGAAGTTCAGTTGTAACGCCAACTCATACAGGGTGACTGCCAACTCCTCATGGGTAAGATAACACTGGTGCAGGGTAATGCGCAGGGACTTCTTGGTTATCCCGACCAAACGTTCCCAGAAGCCGCCCCACCAGGGCGCCGCCTCGGGTACAAAGCGCCAGGTCACAGCTGCAGGTAGGTGCCCGAGCAGGGCATGAAACGTTCTGGCATTGTCACTCACAACTAGCGATGGCGTGCCACGTAGCGCAAAGAAGCGGCGCAAAGCCAGCTTGACGTCAGCGACATTCTGAGTCTTACACAGTTCGAGATGCACAGCTCGCGACGAGGCACAGGTCAGCAGCAGTACCCATACCTTGTCGCCGCCCTTGACGTACATCGGACCGAAAAAGTCCACACCGACCCGGCTGAACGGACGACTGGGCTCCGTCCTGAACGGGGGCAGCGCGCCATCAGCTGACCGGTACGGCGCACCCCGGTACCTCCGGCACCTGAAGCATGTACTGACCACACGATGAACAGTTCGTCTCCTCACACAGTATTCACCAGACAGCAGTGCCAGTGTGGTGCGGGTACCCTGGTGAAACGATTTACGGTGTGCATCATCCACTATCAAGGTGGTCAGATGGGCAAACTCAGGCAGAATGATCAGAGCAGGTTCGTGAGTTCGCGTGACTGCTTCTAGGACACCATCTGCGTTTAGACGAGGTCTGACCTTCTCGAGTCGCGAGTTGGGTGGCAGCGGTGCGCCTGCCGTCAGCGCCTCCAGCTCCGGCGCGTAGGCGGCACTCTGCGAGACCCGGATCCAGAACAGCAGCGCCTCCCGGCGCTCCTCGGGTGACAGCGCTCCACTCCTCCTCTCCGTGCGCTGGTGCCTGGCGTTGTGCGCGAAACGAAGAATCCACGCGGTGCGGTTCACTGCCTGCTTGAGATGAGAACACCGAGTCACATCAAACGGTCCACGCATGACGTCTGGAATCGGATCAGGGCCACACTCTCGTCTCACGGCCACGACCTGACGTCTGACCTCGGGCCTCGTCTCTGCTTCGGCTTCTGCTGAGGGAGGCGTCAGTAGCACTAACGAGGCATCATAGTCAGGCGGACTCAAATCAAATGGTGGACCCTTCCACCACTTGTCACAGGCGATGAGAGAGGTCAGCGTTACCCCTCTCGTGCCTATGTCAGCGGGGTTATCAGAGCCTCTGACGTACCTCCACTGGTCGGCGGTCGTCAACTGAAGCACAGTCTTCACCCGGTTCTCCACGAACATCTTGAGAGGCCGCCTCCGGTTGAGCCAGTGAAGCACGTCGGTCGAGTCGGACCAGTAGGTGACTGTTGCGCTCTCCAGATGCAGCGCGTTCTTGATGAAGTCCATCAACCTGGCTCCAACAACAGCGGCCATCAGCTCCAGCCTGGGGATCGTTAGATGTGGAGACAGGGGGGCCAGCCTACTCTTCGACATCACCAGGGCAGGCTCCCCACCCTGGACCACATACACCACCGCGCAGTAGGCGGTCCGAGACGCGTCACAAAACACGTGAAAAGTCGCTCCGGACTGATCGTCACGCGCTCCGGCTAGGCGAGGGAACCAGATCACCCTCCCCGGCGAGTCTCTCCACCAGGCTCGGACCTCGGTCTGCAGCTCCCCACTCAGGGGACTATCCCATGTGCATTGAGCGTCAAGCCAGGTACGCTGAAACAGGGCCTTCCCCCAGATCAGCCACGGCGTCACCACGCCGAGCGGATCAAACGGTCTACTCACAGCAGATAGCAGCTCAGTCCGGGTGCCAGGGCAGGTCACCTGTGGCACGGTCACGGCCAGACGATCCGATCTTGTGCTCCACAGTAGGCCGAGCACCTTCTCGTCCTCAGTGTCGTCACCAGACATCCTGGTCTTGTGAAGATCCATGGAGGCCTCGCTGAAGACGTCACCCATCTTCGTCAGTCCGGCCTCTGCCTCCGCCCTCGTACTGAAGGACGGGCACATGTCGTCCATGTAGACGGAATCCTGAACCTTCTGCAACAGAACAGGTTCATCGCGCAGACACCGGCGGACGTGCTCAGCGATAGTGCACAGCAGCATGTAGGGCGAACAGGTGAGTCCAAACGGGACCCTGCGAAACCTCAGCCGCTGGCCCGCCCACAGTAGCTGCACGAACTGACGGTCCTCCTCAGTGAGTACAATCTGATGGAAAGCTGCACGAATGTCCGTCTGACAACCCACAGCTCCTGAACGGAAGTTAAGTAGCACAGCTGGTAAACGATGCAGCAGGTTCTCTCCCGGCTCAAGGTAGGAGTTCAGGCTCATACCTGCACCGTCTGGCGCTGATCCATCGAACACCACTCGCAGTTTGCCGTTGCGGTGCAGTCCTCGATGCGGTAAGATGAACTCTGATGGTGGACTCGGCAGCGCGGGCTCGATGACGGCGTCTTCCAGCAGCTGATGCAGGTGGTCATCGTACTCCTGGAACTGTTCAACATTCAACTTCTCTGTCATACGGTGAGTCCGGGTCTTCGATAACATCAGGTTAGACACTGGGCGCTGGTCGGACTTCCATACTAGCCCCATCTCATACCTGTTCTCGGTGGCGTTCCAAGTCGGTACAGGTGGGTCTCTCTCGGCGGTCTCCTCTGCGGCGACTCCCACAGCGTCCAGCGTCCACATTCGCTCGACGTCAACCAGCTGACAGCGGTAGGCGTGCCGCTGCCGGGTCGTCTGCTGGCCTGGGGACTGTCCGTGGAGCACATACCCGAACACAGTCTCCACCAGGCGGAGGCCAGGATTCACCTCCACCTGGTTCCACAACACCACCTTGTACAGCTGATCACACCCAATTAGAACATCAACAGGTCCGTCACGGAAGTCATCAGCAAGCTCTACACTTGGGGGCAGAGACTGAATGGGTGGTGGAGCTCCCACGGGCGCACACAGCTTATCAGTTCTCCAGAACACAAGCTCGGCCTCACCTTTCTGGTATCCAGTGAGCCGCGCGCTTACTTGGTCGTACTGGTGAGCCTCCTCAACTCTTTCCTTGAATCCGACACACGCGAAGGTCCCCTGGCCGACCTTCTCGAGTCCCAGCTGGTCAGCCAGTGAAGCCCGGATGAAGGAGGCGTCTGCCCCGCCGTCAATCAGCGCGCGTACTAGACGCACGCCCCGAGGACCAGCCACCTCCACGAGCGCCGTCTGCACGTAGCAGTGCTGCTGGCTCCGCACGCCCATGCACATCCGTCCCTGGTTGGCAGAAAAAGTACCAGCAGCAGCAGGGGGCGGCAATGGTCTGCGATCAGGCATGCGACTCTCAGACACAGCAGCAGCGGCAGGGGGTGACAGAGGTCCGCGATCAGGTACACATCTCTCAGTAGGCATGAGGGCTGCATGCTCTCCGGGCGGCGGGTGCAATGACGAGTGGTGCGGGCCACCACACCATGGGCATCGGGTGCTGTGGCAAGCACGCAGCAGATGGGGACCAAGACACTGGTAGCAGAGCTTAGCCTGGCGCACAACATCCCAGCGAACAGGCACAGTCATGGTGCGGTAGGCCGAACACGCAGCCAGGCCATGCTTACCCGTTCCGCATGCCAGACATACCCAGTCAGGTCCCTTCTTCTGCCACACGTTCAGCATGCTGACTGTCGGCTTCCCAGGTACTGCGGTAGGTGGCTGCTCACTGGTGATCCTCTTCCTCCGAGCAGCTGCCTCCTCCCTGATGCTCATCTCCTTCTGCAGGAACTTCAGGAAGACTGTGAGTTCATCAGATGAGTCAGCACTGCATCTCAGCCACTCAATCTTCCATGACTCAGGGATGCAAGACAATAGCACAGGCATCAGCAGGACAGCATATGAGTCAGGCAACACGTTCATCGTCTCCAGCGCCCTGACCTCAGAAACCAGCCCATCAATCATGCGTCGCAAGCGGACCAAGTCATTGTCACTGTGCACAGGGGTGGTGGACAACAATCTCTGCATCAGCACCTTAATGCACAAATCTGGGCGATCAAACCTTTCCTTCAGGGTCTCCACAGCCTTCAAGTAGCCCTGGTCAGTGATGGGAAGACCCTGCACAGCCACCTCAGCCTGATCGACGAGGTGCGCCTTCAAGTGCACCAGCTTTTCGACAGGTGCATAAGCAGGGTTGTCATGGACAGATACACAGAACAGGCTCCAGAACTCTGACCACTTTTCCACATCCCCACAGAACTTGGGCAGCTTCAGGTCCAGCTTTCCCCCCAGGTAAGGCGGCACACACTGAGCCCTTCCAACAGAGACCTCAGAGCTCCTTTCCAGACGAGCAAGCACACGCTTAGCTTTGAAAAGCTGATCCTGCATATCCTGAACATGCGAGGTATCATCAGGCACAGACAGCTTTGTCAGGCTCACCTGGATCTCGGTCATCAGATCAACGTGCTGCTCAAGGTGGTGTATTGCCAAGGCAAGGTCGTCCTCTTGAGAATTATCACATTCGGCAAGCTCTTTCATCAGTCTGGTTGCCTTACCTCGAGCCACAGTCCTTTTCTGTTTAAGCTGTGCCTCACTCTCCATCTTGATATACACAATTCACAAGTCAATCTCAGTCTTGATCAGTCAAAATCAATCAGCAAATCATCAAAGAAGCAAATTTAACAGAAATCAAAAAGTCATCCGGCCCGGAGGACTATGTTGAAAATCAAAATGAAATAAATAGGGCCGGCTCTCTGGTTTGACTTAAAAAAGCTTGAATATATGAGCACTTCAATTATATTGGTGGCGGTGGTGGCAGCAGATAGCACACTGGCGGTACACAACCTCACACGGCGGCGGTGGCGACAGAACTCAGAACGAAATACGACAACAAAGCGAAATCGGCGCGGTTAGGAAAAATATTCGTGAAGGATGCAGGGGTTACCAAATGGGCTGCCATAGGTAAAATAAAATGACGAGGCGTAAAGGAAAGGTAGGATACAACACAGTAACGATGGAAAACAAATACGGTACGGTAACATGAGGAGAAAAAAGGTCACAGGGCAGTAACGAATAGCGACAACATTCGAGGGGGCGGCACTAACATTTGAGGGGGCGGCACTTACATTCGAGGGGGCGGCACCTACATTCGAGGGGCGGCATTTAGATACCTTTGAGGGGCGGCACCAACATTCGAGGAGGGCCGGCATCTACATTCGAGGGGGCGGCACTAACATTTGAGGGGGCGGCACCTGCATTCGAGGAGGGCCGGCACCTACATTCGAGGAGGGCCGGCACCTACATTCGAGGGGGCGGCACTAACATTTGAGGGGGCGGTACCTACATTCGAGGAGACAGCGACTACATTCGAGGGACGACATTTACATTTGAGGGGGCGGCACTTGCATTCTAGGAGGGTCGGCATCTACATTCGAGGGAGGGGGCGGCACTTACATTCGAGGGGGCGGCACCTACATTCGAGGGGCGGCATTTAGGTACATTTGAGGGGCGGCACCAACATTCGAGGGGGTGGCACCTACATTCGAGGGGATGGCGCCTACATTTAATGGGCGGCGCCTACATTCGAGGGGGGCGGCACCTACATTCGAGGGGCGGCATTAACATTTGAGGGGGCGGCACCTACATTCGAGGGGCGGCACTTACATTCGAGGGGGCGGCATCTACATTCGAGGGAGCGGCACCTATGTACATTTGAGGTCTGAGGAGGCGGCAACTACACTAGATAGTTGAGAGGTGACTATTGCCTACATGATGGGTAGCGCTCTTTTGAAAGATGGTGCCAAGTCAACGGGTGACATAGAGTTTTGGGATGGCTCAGGGTTATGGGGGCGGCACCACTCGAGTCGCCCGCCGATTTATTTCAGTCGTAAAGTTGGGGTTGCACAAACCGATGTTGGGGTTGCACAATTCAAAGTTGGGGTTGCACGTGCAACCCCAACTTAATATAAAAATCCACCCCTGCTCATGTCTTGAGAGATATTGTTTCGCTTTTTTGCACAGGGGCTGGATATTTAGACAGTAAGGAAATGGAAGATTCCAGATCCACGAGCGATGAGCATGTATTTGTTAGTAGCTTAAATTTTGGGACCCGTTAGAGACCGAAATATGTTTATTTCCAGCACTGATTCTGACCTGTTGCCCCGTCCTCCAACAGGTGAAGAAGGTGCGCGGTCACCGGGAGCGTCCCGTTCTCGACCACAACCCGTTCCAGCGGCTGCAGGAGGACCGTCGCCGGGAGCCGGGCGGTCGGGAGAGGGACCGCAGTCCGTCCCGACACCGGAGGGACAGGAGGGACCGCCGGCGCGACGACCGGGACCGGCACAGACACCGCCACCAGCGCCGCGACAGCCGAGACAGGGTCTCCCGGTGATGGGTGCAGATTGGAAATACATCGAGACAGTTAGGAAGAGAGAAGGTCAGTTGGTGGAAGTGATTGCTGACGGGTGACGGAATACATCAGGAAGGTTAGAAAGAAAGAGAGAGGGTCAGTCGGTGGAAATGAGAGCGGACGGGCGCTGATATACATCGAGAGAAGTTGAGTCGGTGGAAGTAATGGATGACAGCTATGATCACCACGTCAAGAAGTCTCGCAGTTCTAATAATGTCCAGCATGTCGGCACGAGGGCCTCTCTTTGATGGCTGACGAGCGCAGAGAGCCCCCTGCCTGCCTGTCTGCCTGCCTGTCTGCCTGACGGGCAGACGGGCAGATGGGTGATTGAAGTACGCCGAGCGGAATGAGTGGATTTGGACGAGCTGCAGCAGCCGGATCCAAAGCTGATCAGTAACGAGACAGATCGGCAACGATACAGGTTTGAAGAGCTTTGTGCCGCCGAGTGTGCGGCAGTTGAGTGAGGTGGAGTGTATCAGCTCCTATCGCGGGATTCTGCGTAGGTCGAGTGCTGGTGATGATTACAGCGAGCGGCATTGTTAGGCTGGAATGGCACGCTCAGAAGTGTTGGTGGAAAAGTCAGAGGTGATGGTCGTTTGTCGTTGTGAGCTGGTCTGGGAAGCTGGCAGGGATGAAGCGATCGCTGTATATCAGTGAACAGAACGGAGGGATGTCCGCTGGCTCGCTGTGTGCCGTGGGGAGCACGGATAAGCCTGACATGCGAAGGCATTGAAGACCAGCCACGTAATGGAACGTTGCGGCATTTGCACGACGTTTTGACGGCATGAGCTCACGGGCAGACTGCGTCAGTGGATGTGATTAATGCTAGAAAAATCTTTGCGGATCCAGCCGCCCGTGTCACTATACTGACAGCGTCGCGTCGGTCGCCTCTGCAAAGCCCCATCACCTGTCATCCACAGTTAGTCAGTGAGGGCTGACATCCCGCGATTTTGAGACTGATCAGACTGTAACGGGAGTGAGTTGCCCCGGGCGTTTGAACTCGATCGCCTCATTAACTGTACCGATTCATGTTGAGCATGAATCATTGGAGCCACGTGGTAGCTCTCTGTGGGTGAAAGCCACGTGCGAGGGCGACTTTTTTCACGGCATATTCTCGTGGAAGAACGGTTGTGTGTCTCATGTGTGCTGGCATAAGTGTTGAATGCAGTTGACATTCGCCGACTGGCAAAAGAAATCGTTTGCCAAACGCGGGCTATGGGGGCATTGTGGTGGTGGTTTGCAACTGTTTGTTGTTTTACGTGTTTTCATCGACAAAAGTGGCGACCGTATGTAAGACTGGGCTACGTTGCGATGTTTGTTGAGCTCTGACGTGCGGTGCGATGTGGTGTTTGTTTCAGGGCGAAGTGTTTGTGATCAGTCCGAGGCAGTCACCGCTGTCTCGTGAAATGTGATCTGGGAGGGGAAGGACAGACTGAATGAAGAGAAGGGTAACGATATGCGCCGGGTCAACTGCAAGAGGTGTGGCAACTTGGAGTGGTTTTCGCGGTCGTGTGCTTCGCTGCGATGGCCAGTGAATGTTGGGACGGTTTGAGCCGGTATGGCACTAAGTATGGGCGAAGTACACTGACAGGTTCAAATCTTCCACATCCACTACTTCCGGCGTTACGAAACGGGCCATGAAGACTTACAGCGGACGACAAAGCGAAAAGGCAGTGTGGTTTAGGAATATTTGTGTTTGCTTGTAGGCGCTGTCTTGTGTTTTGATATCGATAATCTTACAAATGGGTCTGTTTGGGTATTTTTGGCGGTGAACTACGCGAGAAACGCTGCATCCGGGTTCATTGGCGTCTCTCGTTGGCGTCGGCGTAGATCACTGTGTGGTTCTACCAGCTGTCTCGCCGTTTTCGATACGTTTTGCTGACAAGTCAAGCTCGGTCGGACGAGGTAAAGCGTTTGCGGTAGTTGTTTTCTGGTTGATTGCCCGGCTCTGGTGAGCTCAGTGAGAGTTTGGAGGGAGTTTGGTCACATGCCGGGCTGACGCCTTGTCTGACTGCTGCCTCTCCCTTCCTTGGAGGGCAGAGGTTTGATGTGTTTCATAAGATTGTGACGGAAATATGTGACTTCACATATGTAGTTTGAAGTCCTCATCGTGTGAATGAATTGTGTGGAAAAGAAAATCGTGATGGGAGTTGACGCGTTTTGTGTGATGGCGTTTCTACAGCGGAAGGATGGATTGTGGAATATGTTTTACCTACGTCTACATCTGTTTTTCAACTTTCTCGAACTTCCTTGTCGAGAAATGGGGTCTGAAAACACGAAGTGACTATTACTTTTTCGACAGGGTGATGAAATGTGGTGTTTTGCGTGTGCTCGCTCAGTCCACGCAAAAAAAGATCATTTAGAAGGTTCCCCTGCGTCGAATTCGTTTCGAAGATCTTCCTTTCGAAAGTGGCGCCTAACGATTATCGTAGATGTTCCTTGATGATCTCTGACCACGCGATGACATAATTTGAATTCGTCTCGGTCCGCATCAATTTCTCACTGCAGGCTGCAGCTTAGGTTGGACATTATGCAAAAGAATGATTTCTGAGCACGCGACCGACTTGATAAATGGTCCCGAATCGACGGGGCCGGTGGAAAATGAGAGCAGGCTCTGATTTATGAAAGCTTACTGGACAGGACAGGGCTCACTGCCGATTTGCCGCGCGTAGGTTGGGCGTGTGGTACACGAGTGCCTGTGCTGTGGCACGAAATTTTGAATAATTGCTAGTCGCGAAAGAAAAGTTATCAGGCATATTAGCGGAGTCAGTGCCGAGCCATAACGCCATGCCAGCCGTCCGAGCCTTCAATACGATAAACGGGAGCGATGAGCCATACCTAAAACAAAACGGAAAATATCCCTACCTTCTGGCCATCCTACCAATGCATCCTCATTTTCTCCCGCATCGTCTATGGCCTACGGCATTATTGGGCCGAATGTCGTACTGCAAGCACAGGGATCAGCCCGGGTGACCTACGCCCGAATCGCCTATTCCATCGAATGTCTACGCCCGGGTGACCTACGCCCGGCTGACCTACGCCCGAATCGCCTACTCCATCGAATGTCTACGCCCGGCTGACCTACGCCCGGCTGACCTACGCCCGAATAGCCTACTCCATCGAATGTCTACGCCCGGCTGACCTACGCCCGGCTAACCTACGCCCGAATCGCCTACTCCATCGAATGTCTACGCCCGGCTGACCTACGCCCGGCTGACCTACGCCCGAATCGCCTACTCCATCGAATGTCTACGCCCGGCTGACCTACGCCCGGCTGACCTACGCCCGAATCGCCTACTCCATCGAATGTCTACGCCCGGCTGACCTACGCCCGGCTGACCTACGCCCGAATCGCCTACTCCATCGAATGTCTACGCCCGGGTGACCTACGCCCGGCTGACCTACGCCCGAATCGCCTATTCCATCGAATGTCTACTGCCGTACGGCCTGCCCGTGTTCGTGGAGCAGTCCCTGCTGTATTATCGAGTAAGGATTTACCCATTCACTGCGCCGGCTGACTGGCGGCCCTATCCTTTGTTTGCTCTATTGTCGTCCGTCGCCCGCCGCGGCGGTGCCCAGGCCCGGGGGTCGCCTGGCGCAGCGGGGGGTAGCGTCCCGCCCCGCGGCCCCTGGCGCGGCGAGAGGTAACATGCCGCGGCGCACGGCACGGCGGGCCGCCGCCGCCGCCGCCGCCGAGGGAGTGGACGCTGACAAGGATGAGGGCCGTGGGCCCGTGGCATCACCTGGGTTTGTATGGATTTTTGTTCATTTGGCCGGCTGGCTTAAGTCACCGATTACATTAAAAGGACAAGTGAAAATGAGCCCCTGCACGAATTAGTGTCTTTGCCAACGGCTAACTTCAATTGCAGGAGGGTGAGGAGGGGTCGAAAGAACCACCCAGTGATTCATCCCTTGATTAAGCTATAGGAAAAGCGGGTTTGGCGGGTGGAAGCCAATGAAATACATTTTTATTGTCCTAAGAGCAACTTGACAAGAGTCATTGCCATAGAGTGCACCAAGTTTCAAGTTGAACATATTTTTTTTTTTTTGAAAAATGTGAAGTAAAGCCTTGCTTCTCCGTCAAGTGACGGTGTATTCAAATAACCCGACCGTTGGGTAACTTGAACAGTCTTTCTTTGCACGCCATGAAATAGTTATCTGGCTATCACCGATGTTGTTTGGTGTATAAACAAATAGGCACAACAGCTCTAACATAGGTACCTTATTGAAGAAAGATTAAAACAACAACAAAAATAACCGTTGCAGAATATCAATATCTGTTTGCAGCACACCAGCCAGTTGACAGCGGTTGGCTTCTCTCGTCAGTTGACAGATCGTCTATATCTCCGTTCGGTAAAACCTATCACAACCTTACCACATCTGTCAGAGTGGTGCCAATCGGATTTTGTACCTTCAGAATTCCGATTTTGTCCTATGCCCAAGTCGGAATTTGGTTGGACAAAGGCAGCATGCTTTGGACAATATTTGTCAATCACTTGCAACACTTCAGCATTTTTATGAAGTAATCGTGCACACCAGTAAAACGCCTTTTGGGGCGACCAACGGAGTGAGCGGGAGGGTGGGCCTTGCACGTGCGAAATTGCGAGGGGGTACCACCAAATAACTTGTGCACTGCACCCCAAGACTTACTAACCGGTCCCTAGTGATGTGCCAAATTTGAGCGCAATCGGCCCAGCCGTTCTCGAGAATCGAGATCTGGAGGCGGCACCCTGCATGTGCGCACGTGCCAACTGGGTCCCAACTGACTTTTGCACGGCACCCTACCAACTGCTCCCTAACCGTGTACCAAATTTGAGCGCAATCGGTCCAGCCGTCTTCGAGATCTGGAATCAACCCCTGCACGTGCGCACGTGCAACAGCACCCCAAATCTGGCACATGGATATGCATGGCTTAGTGGGTGCCTACCTACATGCTAACTTTCAGCTCAATCTTTCGGTAAAAAAATATTTTCGGGTCATGTCAGGTCACCGAGCTATGACCTCACAATAGGTAAAACCTCCGACTCTTTTGACAAAATCGTACATCTGGCGTAACTGGACGCGATCCCATCGACAAGAACGAAATTATTCTGTGTGACTTATCATTATGTCAGATTTTGACAGGACATGAAACATTTCATTGTATATTGACCTTTCTAAGGTCAACAAAGGTCATTGACCTCGCATGTCTGTGTTTAGTGGGGTTTCTTGAGGTCCTGAATCCGAATCTGTGGTTCAATCTTCATCTAAATGCTTTCAAAATTGTTCCTCGATCTTTACAAGGTCACCTTAGGTCAATTAGGACCGTCCTCGCCAGCGGCGGGCGTGACTCTCGTGTTCCCAGGGACTATGTCACGCCAGTAATGACTGAACTGCAGTGAACTATGCATCATTTTGTTGCTAATTCATTGAGAAACACGGTCGTGAAAGTTTCATGTTGATATCTTTCATAGATTTGCCATTACTGGCTAAATAGCTTGGAAAATTTTAGCTTTTTCCCGTAATTTGATCGTTGACTAGCCAAAACGGTGTCAAATATTGACCTTGGATAAAAATATAGGTATCACCAGTCGCGAATACTCGTAAAGAGCAATCGACTTGTCTTTGTTGGGAAGCGCTACGACGCTTAGTTTCGAAACGCCAGGAGGTCGGATCACCCCCCCCCCCCCCCCAGGCCGCGTTACGAAAAATGCCCTGCCAGGGCGAGGGTTATAATAGCACGATCTAGGCGTCCAAAAAAAGGGTGTGATATTGATATGCAACGTAGCATTTGATGAGCGGCTTGGTAATAGTTAGATTGTCCTGGAGTGACTCAATTCAGTTAAGTTCTGTAACACTTGCAAGCTATATATGTATTAAAAAATATCTAGGCGCGTCCAGTGAATGTTGGAAGGTATTGGAAAGTAATTACACACAGCGAATATTTTCTACTCAGATCATGACGTTAAGTGTGTAAAATATCAAATGCAATAGCGATTGAAATAAACATTTTTTGTAGGTTCACAAGTGAACAAGAGGTGCCAGGTGGATCATAGGTGGACCCCGGAAAAGAAAGGGAGATCGATTTCACCTGCCAACTTCGGTACCCTGACGCCATCTATGAATTTTCAAATTAATTTGAGTAATTTTATCACGCATTTTTGTAACATAATTAGACTATTGCCAACACGTTTTCGTGATATCACCAACGAAGAAACCGATTTATGTTGCATTTTGTGTGCTTACTCATACCTGCTTAGTCATAGTCATACATTTATTTATGTAGTTCACGTCCCAATTAGATCCGTTCCACTCAAGTGTGGCTATTCCAGAGTCAGGCTCAATATATCAAAGTAGAAACAGCTCAGTTGGTCACTTATGCTATAGTACAGGCACACGCACCAATTCACGCCCATTCCCACTCGACCATAGACGTGTCATCGAGAGCCGGCGCTGCACAGCCAGCCCAGCTGCGACTGGCGCACGCTGCTTGTTTGTTTTTGTTTTGTTGGGTGGTTAGGCTCTTTCGGTCTGACAAGACCATTTCAGAGCCGGAAAAATGATAGGGATTAGGGGGAGACATTGGTCTGGGCAGACACCTTAGGGCCTAGAGTCGCCGGGGCTTAGCCCGTCCGAATGGACAGGCCGACCAGGACCCCCCCCCCCCCAGAACCAGGGACGGCGCCACGGATTTCGCCTTGCGGGGGCAGGTTTTCAGAAAAAGGGCCCAAATAAGATGGGGGCCCAAACTTTCCGAAATATCGTCAATACCGTCAATACTACGCAAGCCTTTATTTGTACAGGTCTCGCGAGATTAAGCGGTAGGTTTGGCACTTTTACATTTCCGGTTATATCTCAGAAACTAATCGATCTACAATGAAGTAATTTTACACGATCATGGCCGGCTTGTTACCCAACAAGTCGATCGCATCTTCAACACTTAAAAGCTTAAGACGACGAAGATATAGCCTGAAGTACACTAAATTTTCTAGGTTCAAAACCTACCGCTAAAACCCGCGAGACCTGTAACGACCTACCATTCCCACAACCGTTACCTTCTACACTTTTATTTATTTTGTATTTATTGCATACCTACCATCAACAGGTCCAGAAACCCAATAATACACAATAACACAAATACACAATAACTTTTGTGTTAAAGGACACACTCTTAA